AGATAAATAATACATATATGTGTATATAAAAATAAATAAAAACAACAAAATATTCCCCTTTAGATTAAAATAACTGAAACGAAATGCTTGTATAGGTATCTCAGAGGGCAAATATCAACCCTCATTGAACCAGCTTAGCCGTAGTAACAAAATACAGATTTGATAAAAGACATGATATAAGAACTTCTGACCAAAGTCAGGTCGATCTTGTTTAGCAAACAAATATAAGCAATACCATGATAACTACGTTAAACTATTATTCTAATATATTGAAAAATGCATTCTCATTTTAATTTACGACTGACTATGGGAAGCAATCAAATGATAGTCATCAAAACTTATACTGATGCAGCCTAGGGGAGACAACTCCCTGAACCGAGGCTTTAGATACCTACACTACCACACTAGGCTTCCGTGTTAGGCATTCCCTACGCGTTAGGTACCTACACTACCACACTAGGCTTCCGTGTTAGGCATTCCCTACACTACACGTGTAACCTATAGCTACATGTCTCGGATAATACATTATTTGATACTCGCTAAATAATTCGTAATAACGTCCAGACATTTATGCTGATTGAATATCAAGTTTATCTCGACAATTTTATGAATCTTTATGGATGAACCTACTTCCACGGATATAACTATGCATACATGTATGTTCTTTGAATAGTCTAGATTCTACATAAAACATCTTTTTTCAAACAATCGATCTTCATGGTTTAGATGTGGATATTTACAAGAAGGAGAGGATTCATATATCATTTACTTTTTTATGCATGTGTAATGACATGTAAATAATATATGCATCCCTTTCCCTCTTAAGATAAATGTACAGTTTGTACGTACATATTTAACGGGTGGAGTAAACTTGTCAATACCATCAATAATGACTGATCTGATATCCAACCAGACCAGCCACGACCTGACTTACTATCTTTAAAGGAGTCTCTTGAAGGCCAAAGGATAATCAGACCACATATCATCAAAAACATGATTTTCACAATATTTTAATATTAGATAATTCTATATTAAAAACATCTCAACGACGTTTGGCATACTATTGATTTTGCATGTATTGTCTAAAACTTTAAAACAGCTTCACATTATGTCCAGCTGAAAAAATGAAATCGCACGTTAAATGATACAGAAAGATTAACGTAACCCACACACAGTGACTGCTCCTTTTAAAATGGTTAATGGTAAGTAAAGAGTATATATGATGAAACATGCCACAACTTAAAATGATTATTGAAACAATTAAGGTTACGGCAAACCTCGGGGACTAAAACATCCACCAGCAAAATCTACCCCCTTGTACCTTGACATATCAACGTAAGACGCAAGTGTTTGCATTTCTTCTGCAATCGATACAGTCTCTCAAAAATAAAAATAAACGTTCTGTACATTACAGTTGTTTTGTTCCTCTTTGTACGCACTATGAATGACACAATGCTACACGTATATATATATAAACTTAAGCTTGGTGTATGATATGGCAAGCCAACTTAACATTTATTCAAGGAGCAATGTCGATCCTGTATTTAAAAAAAATAAAAAAATGATATCTTATATAGCATATGAGATTTCTTATATACTATAAAAAAATTATGAGGGACTGCAGGTACAGAGAACGTCATCCTTACCGGGGGATTGTTGGACAATACTGTACGCTTAAAGAGTAAACTTAACTTCTCTACATTTTGGATTTACTTTCACCCATAAAACGGGATTTGAGAGCTGCCGTCAAACCTGCATGATTGCGAAGCTGGTGACTGGACAGATATGTCAACATTGACTTATCCGTTTCTAGAAAGACTTCCGGATAGTACAGCCTCTTTCTCGTTTCCATCCATTGATAGAACTCAGTAATGATCTAGAACAGGGAAGTAATCCCGTCCAAGTTTTTCTTCCCATCGAAAAAGACTCGACGAAAAGCTCACCTTCTTTACTTGGACAACAGCACGTTCTCTGGCTGTTTCCAGAAGAACTCGTGACAATGGTTGCTTAAGATAGGCTCAATTCTGGACCAACCGATTGAGGATCTAGCTATAAAAGCTCACACGTGTAGTTCGCGTGCCAACATTGGCAACCAGTATAGCCAGGAAGGTACTATACGCTAATGGGGTATCTTCCTATCACAGAAAATGTGTTTGTAGTGGTACTGACTTCCCTCCCTATCCCCACACCGCACCCAGACCCACCACGACATCCCCGTGGTGACGTTGGATATCTACAGACCCCACATATACGAACATGCTGCTACCAAAATGGCTTTGAAGGGCCATGAAGTTCAACCCAGATGCTGGTCAGTTCATCAACGAGATAAGATGTTGTTTCAATAAGCTGGGACAATATAGTGGTCAAAGTCTCTGTGTGACTTAAACCTTCCTCGTGAATTGCGGTGCTCATTGTTCACACTCTCTGGCTCTAGGTGCAAAGTGTACGAATTCTAGAGTGACGGGTACCGGAGCCCTATGTTGGGAGACAATGTAACAACGTCATACTACCCAAATAAGTATTTCATAATGCCCGATCTCTTGTCACTCAAACTGCAAATAAACAACAACTAAAATGTATTGAAATTTAAGAGTATCTGTATTGGGAGTGGTACAGCATATACGGTACATAACATACATGCATCAAAGTGTTTTTACAATACACAAATGCACTGTACTATGACTCAGAACAGACTTACTTTGACATTATCAGATATCATTCAACAGAATAATATACATTAGTTTTACCTCGCGGCAATTCGACCGCAGTTACTGACGTCACAGTCAGCTAACCCAGGTACTCGGTACACCTGTACCCAACACACATAACTGATATGTACAAAAAAAATAGCTACGCTATATACACCACCGTAAGAGTACATTTAGGTTCCCACACGTTTCATAAATTGCGACGTCTGAACTCTAATGAATTTTGGTGGCGATACATGACGTATATTTAAGCATTGAACTGTTTTTGTATGGTATTTATGGTCTTTTTGAATGGCACAGCTTTGCAAGCAAACATCATAATGCACGCTAGCTAATTGATCATGAATACCATACAAAAACAATTCAATAGTTATTAACGTTTTCTCTACCTTTTATGGGTTTTTTTTTTTTACTTACAAGTTATATTTAAAATTCAATATTTCCGCCTTATCGACAGTCCACAGAAATTCGTTCAATAGTTGGAACAGTGCTGTCGCGTGCTGATTGGCAAACAAAGTAGTACACTGTGTACTTTGAAATTTTAACAAACACTTCAATCTCATTCCACAATTAAGTATCAATACAAATGCTTATGATGTATATAGGATGATTTAAGTTTATCAATAGAAATCTGAGCTGAAAGTGAGATTTTAATTTATTTTTTATTTTTACCCAGGAACAAATTTCGCGCATAGATAAATACAGTCAACACCGTAATCCGACATTGCCCTCCACGAGGGAGTTATTTTTGGATGTTGAATGAGCAGAGGGAAAACTTCGAATTTGTGAAGAACCCGGGCGTGGATTTATTTGTTGATTATATGGGAACCTGACTACAGTCGGTAGATTCTACAGCTGCCTCGTTATTTGACATGTCGTCAGAAACTGAGGAAACCGTGGCTGATAGACGCGTGCTACTGATAGCGTTTGAAGTGAGTGATCTTGCGACAGAGCACAGGGGTTCATTACAAATGTCTGAAATACACATATGCCTTGTGTATGTTTATGTGTGCTGTGACTCATACCAATAGGCCTATAGCATATGTGTTTGTCAGACATTTGTAACGAACCCCTGTGGATCAGTGCAGTGAAACAGACGATGTTTCTGGTAAATTGCTTGAGCATTAAAACTGTTTTATTGGTTATTTCAACCGATGTACCTTTTGTACGATATTGCAGACATTGGTCTTTTTTGTTGTTGTTGTTGTAATAAAAAAATGTTTTTCAAATATTTTCTCGGGTATTTTTTTTACACATTTACAATAATATTGTCAAATCTCACGATGCCACAGCGATATTTCAGCAGCCATCATGTTTGTTTACATTGGACATTGTAGTTCCGGTCGGTGTTGTATTAATACGCTAAGAATTATATCTCGTGGTGCATAGTATATGAAGTCCGATCAACGACACAGCTTTCAAATAGACTATATAGTGACAAGGCCATGCAAATGTAAATATATTGTTTTGAAATATGTAATAACAATTAATCGAACGTCGAGAGGGCGTATGTAACAGTTAATAAGGCTGGACCTGCCCCGGGTACGGTCCCGAATGGATTGCTGTTTATGTATTTGTTATTCTCCATGAACGCCATTTGATAATTTTAAACACCCTTTTCGTTTATACAAGTTTCGGTCTTCCAAAAAAGGACATATTTTTCGATGAAATTAATAAATTAAACATTTTAATGAAAGCATGTAATTTCCTTTTCCCACAAATACACTGACCTTGTGTTGGTATGTCGAGCCGGGTTTACGGGAGTAGCTAATGAAAAATAAACAAATCAAAAGTAGAAATTGAAAAATTCTCAATAAACCATTAATGACAAAATGTAGAAAAATTATAGAAATATCGAAGTAGGAAAAGGTAAATAGCGAAAAACAAATGTTAAAATTGCAAGAAATGAAAATGTTGCTTTTCACAAAAATAGAGATATGAGAAATGATAAAAATGCAGTAACGAAATATGAATACCGAAAAACACAGACAAAACATGACTTAAGATAAAAATTAAAACAAAAAATAATTATGGCTGAAATTCCCTTTCCATGGATTTCGGGATAAATGTAGTCCGAACTGTACCATCTTATAATGAAATAATCCCAAAATGCTCGGCTAAAGCGGACGTCAATAACGACCTAGCATCTCATTTGATCAACTGTTTTTTTCAGTATTACTTTCCGGATACGTTTATATTTTTTTCTGGTGTGGAATCAAACCTAATTCCAAGATTGGGTAGAATTCGATAAGAATATTTCAATGCCACAAGGCATATATAGACGTGTAGATATCACTTGCTGTAATACTGCAATAACCTGACACGGTCACCGTTGAACACTGCAAACACGACATTTTCACGAGTCACACTGACAACCGACGTGGAAAATTTGTCTGTATGAAGGACTCTGAGGAAGTCTCCACGTCCACTGAGGAGTAGGATTCTGTTGTTGTAATGATCTCCAATGATGAGTTTTCCTAGTCTGTCAAACCCGATGCCATAGCAGATGAATAAACGCGATTCTGACTCCTCAGTGTGTTGACAGGTAGTCGGTATCTCCCCTCGGTAACGAAATAGTTCCTGGAAATCAGTGTCCATGACAACGACATTTCGTTTTCCTTCACCGCCATGGTCTTTAAAATCTTCATCAATCACTGCAACATGGTTCGTAACGGGACACTCTGAGATTTTCAATGGGGTGCAAACCAATGGTTTTTTGGTCCCAGTTGCCAGAGTGGTGAGCACTACTTTACCTTTTGTGGTAAATTTGGAGATGTTTTTAGCCATCCCGACAATTACATGGTTACTGACTGTAACACACATACACACTGGTTCTATCTTGGTTTTGAATCTGAGCACAAGTTCTCCTGATACGAGCTCCATGATGCTTCTGTCCTTCGTTTGACAGGCCCAAAGAGCGTTTGTTGCAGGCGAAACACTAATGTCTTTGATGTTAAGGACGTGCCTCAGAACGCCCTTTACGAGGCCTGTCCTATCCAGTAAAGCCACGGATCCACTGTTAAGATAGCTGATCCACACCTGCCCATCAATAGTATGACACATGGCGGATATCATGCGTGGAGTCTTGTACTCCTTCAGCACCTTGGCCTGTGGTAACATTTCTGATTGTCGATAGTGACTTGACATTGAGCTCTCACTTTCATTCGATTCTTCCTCCATTTGTGGGGAACGGTACGAAGATGATACTGATGAGAGATTTTGGTCATCTGAAGGTTGATCCTTACCAGTGACCATATCACCCAAAGCCTGTTTTAAGCTGGGTAGATAATCTGCGTTTATTTTGAAGCTGGCAGAACGAAGTATGGGTTTCACGGGTGAGATGCTGTCATAGCGAGCCGTGCATCCAAAATGATATACTTCGATATCCGTGCCTCGATGAAGTAAAGTCTTACTTTCTTGCAACTGCTGCTGAAGCTGTGTTTCGTAGATCTCAAGATCCTGTTTGTAGATTTGTAAGAGCCTAGCGTTATCCTCCTTCATCTGACAAAATATAGAAATCGTCTGTCCTGCAAGCAGATCTAAATCTTCTTTTAATTTGTTTGTTTGTGTTTTCAAATCAAATGTAAGCTTCTCAAAATAGCTGTCATTGTCCTCGAGTTGTGTCTCAGTAGATACGATATATTCACGAACTTTAACCAGTTCATAATTTTCGGTTCTTTCAACAAGATTTTTAATGTCTTGCTTTCTCTCAGGAATGATGTCACCAATTTTACATACGGAGTGATATTTGTGTCTTACAGACAAACATTCACTACAAACAAGAACATCACAATGTCTACAGTGAAATTCTAGTTGTGTCTCTTGGTGATATCTACAAGCTGGATGTGCTTTAGGTCGGGCTAGGACCTGGTCAGTGTTCGAGTAGTTTGGTGTCTCGGCCATGCTAGGGATGAGAACCACGATGGCCAGCTGACGTTGCCTAGATATACCAGGCTGTACATATCATCGCTATGTGCAAATCCCAAGAACTCAATTTAAATATGCTTACACGGCTTAATGCTTTTTACACATCGAAAACATACCAATAGTTATCTTATGATGAATAAACGGTACCGTGCACACACATTCCTTGTCACAAAGAGCACCTCCTTTACGGTCACATGCCTGCACCGTCATATGCAAATTTAAGTCCAATTGTTAGGATTGTAATCCATGACACAACAATTACACCGACCTGTCCTTCAATCAATGATATAGATTTCTAAATTAAGAAAGAAGTAATCAGCGACATGGTCGCTTGAATACCGTTATTTACCTGGCAGGATGACTAGAAGTGGACGGTTACCTTTCAATAGCCTTTAACAGTAACAGGTTTAGAGAACTGTACTTCCTGCTATAGGAAACCTGACGTATACCGGTGCTGGTATTTGAATACAACATAATACCTACCTACGATAGGTTCACATAGCAGGAAGTATAATTCTCTTAACCGGTAAAAGTAGGACAAATGTATTAATAACTTTTCAGCGCGTTCCTCCTTCTGCTCACAGTGAAAAGCTTGCCTTCAAGGTATATAAAGATACACTATAATGTGGTTTTACACCTGATTTAAGTGTGTCATGGCCGTGTAAATATCTACCTACCTGTTAAGACGAACAAGAGTGTGGGCTACCCCTGGATAGCTCTTTAGAGAATCATCCTTCCGACTGTAACAAGCCTGACGCAATTACAAGTCACTACTCTCGGTATATAGGTTTATATGGAATATATCACAGGGTTTTGTAGGATAAAATATAAACTAAACGAGGTTAGAAAAATAAACATATACATTGTTATTGCGTTTAAAGGCAGTGCAGTACACCATTATCTTAAAGGGACAATTTAGTGAAGCAAGTTTTTTTTATATTCTTGTCACGAAATTCCTCATGATGAAATAGTTTGATACTCCTTATGAACAACTCATGTCGAGAAATAGACAAGAGACAATGTTTTCTTGGTGTTTTTAATCAGTGATAACTGTACAAACATACTTTTTAGCGGCAGCTCTCGATGGAATAAGACTTTCCAGCCGAGGAGAGAAGGTAACTTCTCGTTTTATTCACCTGACTTCTTTGCAGTACAAGTACAGGCATTTTCTGATTCAAAAGCATCTTCTAAACAGCATGTCAATACTTTTAAACCTGTTGAGACCGTACTTTGTACAGATATTTCTTTTTAGATTTATATATTATAATACTTATAAATCGCCCTTGCGATGTGTTGTGTAAATTTTAAGCGACAAGAAAGTGTTATGTGTGCAATCAGATTCATAACTGACAATGTGTTGTCGGTCGCATCGTAGTAAGGCTCGGATATTTCGCTATTTTGGTCGTAGCTATTTTTTTTATCACCGGCTTTCCAAAAGGATAAATTCAGTATGTACTCGATTTTTAAAAGTGTCATTTGACTAAATAGCCACTTTAATACATTATTATGTACTATATTCGACAACCATGGCAACAAAGTGGTCGCCAGGCAGACATTTTGCTTTACTCGATTTTTAAAAGTGTCATTTGACTAAATAGCCACTTTAATACATTATTATGTACCATATACGACAACCATGGCAACAAAGTGGTCGCCAGGCAGACATTTTGCTTTACGACTGTTCCACTAACCAGACAGATCGTTCTCAAATTTCAAATTTCGGATCCCCTTGTTAAACACTAGGTATTATTCTAGTACATAGATCAAAATACAACCTCACTCTGAGAAGTCATGCACATCAGTATGAGGTTTTGATCAAACGTTATCACAAGGTCCATGAATCAATCCAACAGATAGGAGAAAAGATCAATATAACAAAGAACCAATGAAGATGGTACGATGGTGGGCGCTAAGATCAATATAACATAGACCCAATGACGATGGTACGATGGTGGGCGCTAAGATCCCTCTGGGATTTCTTGTCGTACCTTATTAACCAGCACTCCTTTAATTTTTGAAATTCATATAATTGAGGGATTGTAGATACTTCGCTTTCTGTTTCAACAGTAGTTTAAACCCATTAGGATTCCTATCGTCTTGGCTCTTTGCTCTATGGTGCAGTGTAATTAGTTTATGGCATGCTGTATCTATTAACATGTAACAAATGCAATCACACGTGCGTCTCAATTTAATCTTTCAAGTTATAAAGTTTAACTACTTAAAACTCTCTATGTTGTCTTGTCGGCCATAAACTAAACACCAGCACATTCTACATCTAAATGTGAAATTAAAGTGCTCTGTGTGCTTGCATTTCGATTCAGCATTAAGTGTAGTAGAAACAAGAATTTACTACGCTGTCTTTTTTTCAAAACAACACTGCTAATATTCAGGTAACACGGGTATATATTTCATTTCCGAGACAGTGCACGCGGTACTTGTGTTAAATTATATCAACCGTCTTAGAACAGTGCCGGGCTGTATTATAAAAAAGTACCAAATATTTTGTTGATATAAAATTAATTTATTAAACATTGGTAACGCTTTTTGAATTATATTTATCACAAACTACAAAACTATGTGAAAAGTAAGCAACTGTAATAAAAATTGATATTTGTACAAAAATCACGTGTTTAAGGACTTAAAATCAGCCCGAGACAGGACTATCTATAATCTTAAAAGCTAAACACAAATATATGAATTTATTTCATGTTTTCTAAAATAATAAATGTAAGCAGTGTGTTATCTCTTTGACAACTTGACTGGCCTCTCTTATACATGAATGATGTACTGCACTGCATGAAATGTTCCTCGATTCATTATTTTATGGTTTAACTTTGATACAAAATTGCATGGTCGGTTGGCACTTGTAATTTGATACGTTGTACATTTTCTATGTACAAATATTCGCGGTTCAAATGTACAAACCAACGGCCAAGACTATCACCACACATCGGACATGTCACATGACACGTGATATACATGAAAAAATGATTTATTTTTTTTAAATTAACATAATGCAACAGACAGAGTAGGTAGACAAAGGTAAGTTTGATCCTGGATCCTTCGTTCAGCTAGTACAGCTAAGTTGTACTGAGATGCACTATATGCGACAGACCCGAGCGACGGAACCTTCATACCACTAAGGAGTACTGTGAGGTATATCACGATTGGAATGAGTGTAACTTTCCCTAATCAGTACAGTTTCTTCTTCTGTTCCCGTTGTTTGAGGAGGTAGGCACGATAGTAGAAGTTACCAAACAGAAAGATGAGAGAAATCGAGTAGAGGAAAACGGCGACGTTAAATCCTTGAGGAAAGTCACAGTCGATTAGCAAGTTATACCCTGTGTGTATGACGAACGCCACGAACTGGATCTACAATGCAAAACACAAATATCGTTAACAAAATAATTAAATTCCGTGTATTAACCTGAATATCATTAACGTATATACCCCGTTGTATGTGTTAGCCAAATAATAATTAACATATGTGTTTCATTTTGAAGTGAAACCCTATTATTAACATTTAAAACTCCATTCAATGTGTAAACCAAAATACCATTAACAATATATTAAACTCCATTAAACACCATAGTCTTAACATAATAACTAATCGGTTTCCCTTTTAAAGTTGAACTTATATTAATATTTTTTATATACTTAATACAATGAATTCTAACAAAATTTAATTAAAATGTATTATTTCTGTGATACTTATATGACGACATAGCAATTTGCTTTCAAAAATGAACACCATTTGAAACTTTAAGTACGTCTATGATCAATATAAGTGATTGTGTGCTCTTTTTTGGTATTTATATTTTGAATAGATTTCCCAGTCTTATGTCAAAGGTCAATTTTAATTTGGTCATCCTTACCAGGGAGTCAAACGCACATTTAATGTAAGTTGCAATTAATTGTCATATCATTATCATATATAAGATACTTCGTTTATATTAAGTGAACACCAGGTGGGGATTAGTGAAGTTCAGTTTTAGTGAGCTTCAGTGTGGGGATCAGTGAAGTATAAGTGTAACGGGTTTCAGATTGGGAATAAGTGAAGTTTATGTTAAGTAAATTTCAGGTTGGGGACCAGGGAAGTTTTTGTGTAGTGGGCTTCAGGTTGAGGACAAGTGAGTTCATTATTATGCTTTCGGTCGGGGACAAATTTAGTTTACCATCATCATACTTGATTCACTAACGTATCTTAATTTAATCCTCTGTAGATTGGGGGTGGGGTGGGGTCGACTTTAGTATCAATCACCCACCCATTAACAAGATCAGATATCAACTTGCCATCGAATTAATCACATTTTGTGGGCTTGGGTTTTACTAAATAGTGTTAAGATATATAGAATTACCTACCAACTGCAGTCTTGTGAGGTAGCGTTTCCACCAAAGATACTTTTGCATGTGTGGTCCGACACCAGACAGGAAGTAGTAGGAATACATTATGATGTGTACAAAAGAGTTCAACATCCCTATAAAAAATGCTGCAAACAGAACAAAATTTATTCGACTAATTTTAATCACAATTTATGGATATTTAAGATCAGAATCAAGAGACAGGCAACCTCTCGACATAACGATACCAAAAAAGCACAGGCGAAACTGGATACTCTGACAGGATGATATATACTGATGTATTGTTTTAGAATTGTCAATTTCAGTTATGTTTGACATCTTTATTAAAATCCAGTTATGAATTAAAAAAAAGGTTCAAAAGTATAGAATGGCGAATATCTTACCTTGACCCCCCGCAATGTACTTGACACCTAGCCACCAGTTGATTATCATAGTACAATGGTGATACACGTGTAAGAAAGATACCTGGTCAAACTTTTTTCTCATGATGAAAAAAACCTGCAATGTCCAAAAATCATATTTTATTAAATGTAACTAAACGAATGTATGATTCTATAAAGTTTGATGAGAACATTTATTTTAGAGCTTTAATGAACCTCCAATGATGAGTAGAAACATAATAGTTATCCAGTGACTTCCGTTCCCTGCAAATTAACTTGATTATCAGATTGCTGGATAATTGGGCCAAGATAATATAGGAAAATGTCTAGTTGTCTCCTAAAACATTTGAAGATACAGAGGCAGACATATCAGTGATGGCTGTGTAAACGAAGCATGATAGAGCAACAACGGGATTAGTAGTGGCTTGATAAAGGGACAACCAAAACAGTTTTGGCTGGATAGGGGATAGGTAAATTTGTAGCAGCTGGATACTGGGACAACAAGACATGTGATGACTGACACCAAACACAATCAGTAAAGCAGGGGCTGGATAAACGTACAACCAGATGAGTGATGGCTGGATAGACGTACAACCAGATGAGTGATGGCTGGATAGACGAACAACCAGATGAGTGATGGCTGGATAGACGGTCAACCAGATAAGTGATGGATAGACGGTCAACCAGATTAGTGATGGCTGGATAGACGGTCAACCAGATGAGTGATGGCTGGATAGACGTACAACCAGATGAGTGATGGCAGGATAGACGGTCAACCAGATTAGTGATGGCTGGATAGACGTACAGTCAGATTAGTAATGGCTGGATAGACGGTCAACCAGATTAGTGATGGATAGACGATCAACCAGATTAGTGATGGCTGGATAGACGGTCAACCAGATGAGTGATGGCTGGATAGACGGTCAACCAGTTTAGTAGTAGCTGGATAGACGGACAATAGTGATGGCTGGATAGACGGTCAATCAGATGAGTGATGGCTGGATAGACGTACAGTCAGATCAGTAATGGCTGGATAGACGGTCAACCAGTTTAGTAGTAGCTGGATAGACGGACAATAGTGATGGCTGGATAGACGGTCAATCAGATGAGTGATGGCTGGATAGACGTACAGTCAGATCAGTAATGGCTGGATAGACGGTCAACCCGATTAGTGCTGGCTGGATAGACGGTCAACCAGATGAGTGATGGCAGGATAGACGGTCAACCAGATTAGTGATGGCTGGATAGACGGTCAACCAGATTAGTGATGGCTGGATAGACGAACCACCAGTTTAGTGGAAGCTGGATAGACGTACAACCAGATGAGTGATGGCAGGATAGACGGACAGTCAGATTAGTAATGGCTGGATAGACGGCCAAACAGTTTAGTGGAAGCTTGATAGACGTACAACCAGATTAGTGATGGTGCGATAGACGGTCAACCAGATTAGTGATGGATAGACGGTCAACCAGATGAGTGATGGCTGGATAGACGGACAGTCAGATTAGGGATGGCTGGATAGACGGTCAACCAGTTTAGTAGTAGGCTGGATAGACGGTCAACCAGATGAGTGATGGCTGGATAGACGGACAGTCAGATTAGTGATGGCTGGATAGACGGTCAACCAGTTTAGTAGTAGCTGGATAGACGGACAACCAGATTAGTGATGGCTGGGTAGTTGGACAAACAGATAAGTGATGTCGGATAGACGGACAACCAGATTAGTGATGGCAGGATAGACGGACAGTCAGATTAGTGATGGCTGGATAGACGGTCAACCAGATGAGTGATGGCTGGATAGACGAACCCCCAGTTTAGTAGTAGCTGGATAGACGGACAACCAGATTAGTGATGGCTGGGTATTGGACAAACAGATGAGTGATGTCGGATAGACGGACAACCAGATTAGTGATGGCAGGATAGACGGACAACCAGATTAGGGATGTCGGATAGACGGACAACCAGATTAGTGATGGCAGGATAGACGGACAACCACATTAGTGATGGTTCGATAGTTCGACACCCTGATGAGGTATTGCAGGATAGACGGACAACCAGATTAGCGATGGCTAGACTAACGAGGCTGCACATCCATTGTTGTCTATGCATTCCGATTCTTAACAGACAATATAGCAGTTAAACTTACCGTGTCTAAAAGTTCGATGACTTTTGAGAAGAAAAACCACCAGCAAACATTAGCCATCTGAAAAACATCACATGAGAACATGATAATTGATAATCAGAAGAGATGCGGATCTGTTTTGAATATCTTTTACTTCCAGTAAAATGTAGAGAATGTCGATCTCTTTTTAAAGATGTTTAAATTGTATGTTTTGATATAATAGATGTCTATGAACTATGATATAACTAACTAAGAAAACAGTCAAATGTTAAAATTGTCGGCCTACTCAATTGGATGACAAAAGTGGCTACTAGTGAAAAAGGTAGGACTTATATCGTCTCGATATGAAACTGTTGCTTTGATGTAGGTTATTGTAATGTTTTCAATAGAAAACGCACCCTTAAAGCTAGTGGATAGGTGTTGTTGGCATAGAAAACTCACTTATATTGGCATAAATACTTGTAATGTTATATAAAGCACTCACCATTAAGGCTAGGGGACTGTTAATACTGACATAGCTAATTGTAATGTTATATAAAACACTCACCCTTAAGGCTATAGGACTGTTGATACTGACATAGCTAATTGTAATGTTATATAAAACACTCACCGTTAAGGCTAGGGGGCTGGTGATACCGACATAGCTAATATTGCAATGTTATATAAAACCCTCTCCCTTAAGGCTAGTGGACTGTTGATACCGACATAAATAATTGTAATGTTAGGCTAGGGGACTGTTGATACCGACATAGATAATTGTAATGTTATAAAAAACACTCACCCTTAAGGCTAGGGGACTGTTGATACCGACATAGCTAATATTGTAATGTTATATAAAACACTCACCCTTAAGGCTAGGGGGCTGTTGATACCGACATAGCTAATATTGTAATGTTATATAAAACACTAACCCTTAAGGCTAGGGGACTGTTGATACCGACATAGATAATTGTAATGTTATAAAAAACACTCACCCTTAAGGCTAGGGGACTGTTAATACTGACATAGCTAATTGTAATGTTATATAAAACACTCACCATTAAGGCTAGGGGACTGGTGATACTGACATAGCTAATTGTAATGTTATATAAAACACTCACCCTTAAGGCTAGGGGGCTGTTGATACCGACATAGCTAATATTGTAATGTTATATAAAACACTAACCCTTAAGGCTAGGGGACTGTTGATACCGACATAGATAATTGTAATGTTATATAAAACACTCACCCTTAAGGCTAGGGGACTGTTTATACCGACATTGGTAGTTGTAATGTTATATAAAACACTCACCATTAAGGCTAGGGGACTGGTGATACTGACATAGCTAATTGTAATGTTATATAAAACACTCACCCTTAAGGCTAGGGGGCTGTTGATACCGACATAGATAATTGTAATGTTATATAAAACACTCACCCTTAAGGCTAGGGGACTGTTGATACCGACATAGATAATTGTAATGTTATATAAAACACTCACCCTTAAGGCTAGGGGACTGTTGATACCGACATAGATAATTGTAATGTTATATAAAACACTCACCCTTAAGGCTAGGGGACTGTTGATACCGACATAGATAATTGTAATGTTATATAAAACACTCACCCTTAAGGCTAGGGGACTGTTGATACCGACATAGATAATTGTAATGTTATATAAAACACTCACCCTTAAGGCTAGGGGACTGTTGATACCGACATAGATAATTGTAATGTTATATAAAACACTCACCCTTAAGGCTAGGGGACTGTTGATACCGACATAGCTAATTGTAATGTTATATAAAACACTCACCCTTAAGGCTAGGGGACTGTTGATACCGACATAGATAATTGTAATGTTATATAAAACACTCACCCTTAAGGCTAGTGGACTGTTGATACTGACATAGCTAATTGTAATGTTATATAAAACACTCACCCTTAAGGCTAGGGGACTGTTGATACTGACTTAGCTTATTGTAATGTTATATAAAACACTCACCCTTAAGGCTAGGGGGCTATTACTATAGTCAACTGGCTGACACAAGTAGCTGTAGTTGGATAGGAGAGAAGTGACAAGAAACTGTAAAAAAAAAAATAAAGGAAAAAAGGTAAGTTATTAAAAAACGTTATTTAGAACTTCAAGGTCACATCACACGAAGTAACAGGTTTGCGTGTTATCACAAGTACTTTTCAAAAACATCCGACCCGAAGCACAATAACTACTATGGCAACTCTTTAACAACTGCGTATCGCTAGTATCAGTTTAAACACGCTGGTAATATGACCAGGGTTATAAGACTACACCTGTATTGGAGTTATCTAACCTGATACAGGTCACAAAATACACAAATAACATCATTCTTGCTCACACAGGCGTCCTTTGATGGAGAACTGTCTATGTCAAGAAGATAGTTCCCACATACAACGATGAAAAGGATTATAGTCTCTTCGAAATCTGTAAACACTAAGTTCTGCAAGTTTTCAAATACATTTCTACAAGATATTTTACATGTCTGATATGTTTGCCAGCGCCTTTCTGGATGTTTGACTATTTTCTATCTAGATTTTTGGCAATTATCTGTCTAATTCTGTGATTAATGTTAGGATATTCTGAGTGGCGTCTTCCGTCGATTCCGAAATTATTGAACTCTGTCAATCGCCATCAATTACTGAAATTTGTGGTGAAAAAGAGAGATTCTGACTCTGTAACGGTGGCTTCTGTAGCAGGGGTAGTACTAGTACTGTAGCAGGGGTAGTACTAGTACTGTAGCAGGAGTAGTACTAGCACTGTAGCAGGGGTAGTACTAGTACTGTAGCAGGAGTAGTACTAGCACTGTAGCAGGGGTAGTACTAGTTCTGTAGCAGGGGTATTACTAGTTATGTAGCAGGGGTAGTACTAGTTCTGTAGCAGGGGTAGTACTAGCACTGTAGCAGGGGTAGTACTCGTACTGTAGCAGGGGCAGTACTAGTTCTGTAGCAGGGGTAGTACTAGTACTGTAGCAGGTGTAGTACTAGTACTGTAGCAGGGGTAGTACTAGTACTGTAGCATGGGTAGTACTAGTACTGTAGCAGGGGTAGTACTAGCACTGTAGCAGGGGTAGTACTAGCACTGTAGCAGGGGTAGTACTAGCACTGTAGCAGGGGTAGTACTCGTACTGTAGCAGGGGCAGTACTAGTTCTGTAGCAGGGGTAGTACTAGTACTGTAGCAGGTGTAGTACTAGTACTGTAGCAGGGGTAGTACTAGTTCTGTAGCAGGGGTAGTACTAGTTATGTAGCAGGGGTAGTACTAGTTCTGTAGCAGGGGTAGTACTAGTTCTGTAGCAGGGGTAGTACTAGTTATGTAGCAGGGGTAGTACTAGTTCTGTAGCAGGGGTAGTACTAGTTCTGTAGCAGGGGTATTACTAGTTATGTAGCAGGGGTAGTACTAGTTCTGTAGCAGGGGTAGTACTAGTACTGTAGCAGGGGGTAGTACTAGTACTGTAGCAGGGGTAGTACTGGCACTGTAGCAGGGGTAGTACTAGTACTGTAGCAGGAGTAGTACTAGCACTGTAGCAGGGGTAGTACTAGGACTGTAGCAGGGGTAGTACTAGTACTGTAGCAGGGGTAGTACTGGCACTGTAGCAGGGGTAGTACTAGTACTGTAGCAGGTGTAGTACTAGTACTGTAGCAGGGGTAGTACTAGCCCTGTAGCAGGGGTAGTACTAGCACTGTAGCAGGGGTAGTACTAGTACTGTAGCAGAGGTAGTACTAGTACTGTAGCAGGGGTAGTACTAGCACTGAACCAGGGGAAGTACTAGTACCATTTACGGTGGAACATGGGATACCAACAATGATATGGTTGTCGTCCATAACTACAGACAACATAACTACAGACATACATACCTACAGACATACATTACTACAGACATACATAACTACAGACATACATAACCTACAGACATACATAACATACATAACTACAGACATACATAACTACAGACATACATAACTAATACATAACTACAGACATACATAACTACAGACAACATAACTACAGACATACATAACTACAGACATACATATGCGCATCTTGGTGCTCAGTTCAAAGAAAAGTTTCCTTGATACCAAGTAGCTGAAACTTTAATCATAATATTGATATGATATATTGATGTCGCAGAAATTGTCTCTATGTTCCATCTTCCAACTTCCAAACATTTACTACCAAACAGATCGTTACATTTTTCGAAGAGAAATCTATAAATTTGTCTTTTCCAACGGGAATCTGAATGTGTTTGTACACATATAACGACAATGCTCTTTTTAGCTGGAGGTGTTTGGTTAATTGTGGTTTAAGGTATCGTTTTATTGAACAACATTTCATTCGTCCATCACAAACGAGATAGTATCCATTTAGACTGCCACTTAGAGCCCTTCGATGATGCATCCTTTTTAACAAAATATATCAAAGGATTGAGACATTAGAAGTAAAAAACCATTGGTACTGTATTACTCATGACAGTCAAATATTTTCTAGAGTGTGCTGAAAAGGAAATATATACTGTACAATGTAATAATGTTTATCAATATATTCCACATGGTTCATAATTATGGTCCCGGTACTTCTCAAGGCAAGCGAAATATAAAAACACCCCAGTATCTATAGGGCCTGTGTACTTTCTAGCAATTTTGTCAGATAAAACCTAATGAGATCCGGTACCCACTGCGAATTTAAAAATCATGGATATACATTTTATCGTCATTTTAGGAGGCGGATGTGGAAGAGTTTTCCGAGTTAGAGGAAATCTAGCTGCTGATTTTTTCGAAAAAAAGGCATATTTTCAGGGTTTTTTTCTCCATTTTGACCAACCACAACCCTAGTCCTTTTTTGGATAGATGATTTCCCAAGTTGGCAGCGACTTTTAGGGATTTCAATTGTCATCAAAAAAGAGTTGAAACGCTAGAATCATTCCCTTATCATTACAGTATTCAAGACAAAAATGTGTGTTTTGTAATAAAGCTAGACACTTACCTCGTAAAACATGTAGGCTGCGAGACAGACACAGAAGAAATTGTAGGGGAGGAGCACCCATTTCAGAGGGACAGGCTGTCTGTCTCTCATCAGGGCGGGGCCAGCAAGGACCACTACGAGATAGGACATGAAGATCACCGAGATGATCGCCGGGTTTCCCATCAGTAACCAATTCTCTACTCTCTTGTCTGTAAACACAATTAACAAAGTGCATGTGGCCCGGCCTCACCAACAATAGCTAACATTGACCTGTTCACGTCACAGATAAGTTAACATATATATATAGTACCTAGTCAAAAAGTTTGCAAACAAAAATACAACTATATATAGTTACGTTTGTCGGCTTTTATAGCGGTTGTGATATTTCTGGATTAATTTTTTATAAACAAAAAAGTGTTTATTTTGCTAGTTCATGCAAAAATACCGTTCAATCAGGTGTTAAGACCTGCTTTTTCGATTTTGAGTATTCTCCCTTTTAAATAGACAATAAAGCAACAGAATACGTCTTTTTTTTACTTAGAGTAACCTCCCTTGTCTTATCAAGATATTCACCTTACATTTTGGTACTTTGTATACGTGTAATTTTATTTCTACATCGGACAAGTGAATATTTGGCAATGGAAACGTTCAAGTTTGACCCCAGCAGTTTTTATTCTTTTTTTATTTGTTTATTTTCATTTCTGGTTTCAAAACCTCAAATTTCAAACGACTTCATTTCTGTAAAATGCGTAGCAAGAAGTGATTTATATGTAATGCTTCTGTAGAAAATGCCTTAAATATATTTCATAATATTAATGATACATAAAGATAAAGTTGATGGTATCATTTACCTGGAATACGGTTATATTAATAAGATATTTCATTGATCGTTTTTGAACTCGTGCTATTTAATTTCATGAAAATATGCACTATATTTATCACCAAGTCAAAAAATTCAATTGAATGTCTTTACAAAAAATGACAAGTATCCTACCCCGTTTTTATTTCATATTTTCGTTAATTCAGTAATTATTAACGTTAATATTTATTTTAGAAATTTTAATTGACTAACGTCTGTTTTATTAAAGGTTGTGAAATGTCAAATTTGATAAGACTGTAGTAAATCCACTGTTTACCTCCCCGTGCCATTGAAGAATAGTAAAAGTCCCGGACTTGCTCCATGAAGGTTTCTCCCATCTTGCTTTTCTTCGGCTGAAATCGACACGACTGCAAATCTTAAATATGTTATTAAGTAAATATTAAGTAGATCTACAAAGCTTTGCTTTCGAATCAAATGCATGATAACAAAATACTATAAAAAAAAAAGTTATCAAGTTTTGTTCCACTGACGTTATAAATAAATAGTTATGCAATGTACTGAAGTCGCTGTGTTAATTTTTGGTCGTATGTCAAAGATTAAAATAAATATGCAGATTTTTTTATTTTTTTATTCCGGGTATATTGAATTTCGCAAGCTGACTTTTCCGTATTTTTTTTTTTACATTTGATACAAAATTAATTATGAAACGTATGTACCTATTTTTCACTGACAGTAAATTTCACGATGTTCCAAAAGTATAATCAATCTTCAAAAACACTATGGCTGTAAAACACATATATAAATTATTTCGGCTTAAATGATTCACGCAAAACTAACGCCTACATAATTTTCTACTTTCAAAACTTAATATCCGGAACCTGGAAAACGTCTACCACGTCGATATTTAGTGCGTTTACACCCCCGCACGGTTCAGTTCTTTACCAAGTTTCAAAACAGTCAGAATGAGCATTCGACAACTTACCTGCTTCTGAGAAATCTAAGTAACGAGTCAATATCCCCAGGACACAAGACGGAGACAGGGGGAGATGTTCATTAAGTATCAACAGTTGTCTTGTACATCGGACCTTTGTCGTCTGTTTGCTGTTGTCCGTGGGAAGGGAAATAACTCTTAATAAAATAAGAGTTCAAAGTCCGAAGAGCCAGTGTGTACTTGTGTAAGAAATTATCGGGTAGCTGGGCCCCAGATAGATTAGATATCTTGTTAAAAATACACATATTAAGTTCTACCTGGCGAGCTTTGAAATTCATGACGCGGATCTAGATGGAGCGTTAGGGATCTAGGAGAAGTGGCGATAACGTCAAGTACTCAAGTCGGGACACTTTTTAGTGAAATATTGATGTATTTCATACCATATAGTACCGATCCCAATAATTTGGGTCACTTTTCCTAAATAGATATCATTATCATTTCATTTTGATAACAACCGGAAATATAGCCATGGTTACGTAATCGCGAAACAGTTGTAGCTGTACCCAAATTGGGACACCCTATAAAATTTGGCTTATATTTGGAATAATCGTCTGCTGGATAACCGAACTACTCGGTAGTGTAACGGACATAAAAGCTATCAATCAATCAATCAATCTGGAGATGAAAAAAGTATTTAGCAGAACATGGCATATCTTTCGTTCTGAATGAATTTCTTTTCCGAACTAGACTACTGTACGGATAGTGCCGTCGCTGGGGCTCGAACCCGCAACCTTTGGTTCTCCAGCCCGATGCTCTATCGTTGAGCTAAAGGGAAATTCCCTACAGCTGACGCTTGTAAGGCAACCTAATTTATCCACATCTTTTACACTATTCCATCCTTTTTTCAAACACCAACCCAGGTTCTTTGACTCCCAACCAAGGGTTCTCCTACCTTGAACAGGGAGGGTCAACGGCACCAGTCTGTAGAAGGACGAGGAATAGTGATAAAGATATTACCGTCGCAGGGGCTCAAACCCGCGACCCTTGGCTCTCAAGCCCGATGCTCTACCGTTGAGCTAAAGGGAAATTCCCTACAGCTGACGCTTGTAAGGTAACCTAATTTATCCACATCTTTTACACTACCATTAGTTGTGAAATAATAGGGTTGTGAAAAATCACTTACAAAAATTGAAAATAAATAACGTCGCATGGCGCTTCAAATTAGAATGTTACATTTTCGTCATTATTTACAAACTAAAAGTAACTAACCATAAGTGTCTGTAAATAAAGTTCATATGATGTTTTATTGGTATATCAGCACCTTTAAATCAATACTTTCAATTTAAAAATACTTATTTGCACAGCATGCACATTTCTTGTGACTTTTCCCTACTAGTGTCCCGATTTTGGTACTGCAATGTAGCACTATTTTGAAGCAGATTGTCCTTGAATTTTTGCATTCATATTTGCGAATTTTCGCACCAAACGTGAAAAAACTGAATGTCTGATGTCATCTGGAGCATTCTAGGGTGCAGCATTGATTGAAAATTCTTAAATCTGTGTTTTTAGTTATACATCAAATTAGTGTATTTTGTCCTTTTATGTCGTTGTGTGTTGACGCTATTGTATGCTTGTGTCGTTGTGGGTTGACGATATGGTATGCTTGTGTCGTTGTGGGTTGACGATATGGTATGCTTTTGTCGTTGTGTGTTGACGCTATGGTATGCTTTTGTTGTTGTGTGTTGACGCTATGGTATGCTTTTGTTATTGTGTGTTAACGCTATGGTATGCTTCTGTCCTTGTTTGTTTACGCTATGGTATGCTTTTGTCTTGGTGGGTTGACGCTAGGGTATGCTTTTGTCCTTGTGTGTTGACGCTATGGTATGCTTTTGTTGTTGTGTGTTGACGCTATGGTATGCTTTTGTTATTGTGTGTTAACGCTATGGTATGCTTTTGTCCTTGTGTTTTGACGCTATGGTATGCTTTTGTCCTTGTGTGTTGACGCAAGGGTATGCTTTTGTCGTTGTGTGTTGGCGCTATGGTATGCTTTTGTTCTTGTGTGTTGACGCTAGGGTATGCTTTTGTCCTTGTGTGTTGACGCTAGGGTATGCTTATGTCCTTGTGTGTTGAAACGATGGTATGCTTTTGTCGTGGTGTGTTGACGCTAGGGTATGCTTTTGTCGTGAAGTGTTGACGCTAGGGTATGCTTTTGTCCTTGTTTGTTTACGCTAGGGTATGCTTTTGTCGTGGTGTGTTGACGCTACGGTATGTTTTTGTCGTGGTGTGTTGACGCTAGGGTATGCTTTTGTCATTGTGTGTTGACGCTATGGTATGCTTTTGTCGTTGTGTGTTGACGCTAGGGTATGCTTTTGTCCTTGTGTGTTGACGCTATGGTATGCTTTTGTCGTTGTGTGTTGACGATATGGTATGCTTTTGTCGTTGTGTGTTGACGCTATGGTATGCCTTGTTCTTGTGTGTTGACGCTATGGTATGCTTTTGTCGTTGTGTGTTGACGCTATGGTATGCTTCCGTCCTTGTTTGTTTACGCTATGGTATGCTTTTGTCTTGGTGTGTTGACCCTAGGGTATGCTTTTGTCCTTGTGTGTTTTCGCTACGTTATGCTTTCGTCGTTGTGTGTTGACCTTATGGTATGCTTTTGTCGTGGTGTGTTGACGCTATGTTATGCTTTTGTCCTTGTGTGTTGACGCTATGGTATGCTTTTGTCGTTGTTTGTTGACGCTTTGGTATGCTTTTGTCGTTGTGTGTTGACGCTATGGTATGCTTTTTTCCTTGTGTGTTGACGCTATGGTATGTTTTTGTCGTGGTGTGTTGACGCTAGGGTATGCTTTTGTCGTTGTGTGTTGACGCTATGGTATGCTTTTGTCGTGATGTGTTGACGCTAGGGTATGCTTTTGTCCTTGTTTGTTTACGCTAGGATATGCTTTTGGTGTTGTGTGTTGACGCTATGGTATGCTTTTGTCGTTGTGTGTTGACGCTTTGATATGCTTTTGTCGTGGTGTGTTGACGCTATGGTATGCTTTTGTCATGGTGTGTTGACGCTATGGTATGCTTTTGTCATGGTGTGTTGACGCTATGGTATGCTTTCGACGTTTTGTGTTGACGCTGTAATATGTTTTGTCGTTTGGTGTTGTTGATGTTTAGAAGAACATCAGATCTGTAGTGGTAATGACAAAAACTGATTATAATTGATATGAAATATCATATATACATTTTCATAAGTGGAAATTAAACAGACATGACTTAACCAGGTCCACCATTTAGATTGATATATTACAGTGCTATGTCGCATTAACTTTCAATATCTCTGTCAACAACCCGAGGAAATAAACCACTGAATATGTAATATTTGTTCAAGTGTTTCTAGTCGGTAACAGTCTGTCAGACCACAGGGTGACGCATCCCTGTGGTATATTGCAATATCTACTCAAGAGTTGTTGTTCCTTACCCCCACTTGTGTCAGGAACGACAACTCTGAATAGAGAGTGTATCATCTTGATGTTCGGGGACGGAAGGTTTGATTTTGAGCTAGAGACGGATTATCTGTACAGATTGGAAACAGTGAAATAATTATACACTGTATCTGTTTTTAGAGCCAGAATTGGAGCTGGTAGTTCATTGAAAACCTCTCTCCACAAACCAGTGCACGGAATTATGTTGGACATATTATGGTAATGAATTATGACTTGATGAAATGGATTTATATAGCTGGCGTTCAGTTGTAAATAATGTGACTATAATTCTGGACAGATTATAAAACCTTTTCAATTTCCCAGGAATAAAACGGACATACAGCCTGGTATCTCTATGGTTAATATCTATAAATCTCACGCGAAATGTTGATCTTTAACTATTCCCCTTATCTGAATAATCAACATGGCTGCGAAATCAACTTCCTTATGTAAAGTTCAGATTGCAGTACGAGCCAAAGGTCAGACCACTTGTATCTACCACTACGGGAAACAACTACAATTCTACTGCAAACGCTGTGAGGATGTTATTTGTAGTAAATGTTTGTCTACGGTTCACGATGCTCATTCCGTTTGTGAACTCGGTGAAATAATTATCAAAAGGAAGCGAGACATTCAAAAATTCATTGAAAGAAGTGAGAAACACGATCTTAGACAAATTCATGAAAATAGTACATCTACAGAGCATCACCTCAAGGAAAATACCAACACGTTTGACAAGCTCGCAGCGAAGTTGAAAAGACAAACCGACAAATTAAAAGAAGATCTAGATTCTATTTCAACACAGACGCTTTCTAGATACCGTCAAATAGAGGAGGATAACGCCAAACTCATAGAAACCTACAAACAGGACCTGGAAGTCTACGACAAAAAGCTAAAGCAACAATTACAAGAATGCAAAACTGTACTTCAACAAGGGACTGATATGCAGATATATGACTGTGAGTATGACGCTGAATGCGATGTCCCATCGACTGTTAAACCTACACTGACTGCTGCAAGCTTCACCCCGAACGAATATCCTCTGACATATCTGGAACAAGCATTGGGTACTACGGTCACTTCCGGTCAGGGTCAGACGTCATGTGAACAGGATCTCTCGGAAGAGTCATCAGATACGGAGGGAGAATTGGATGAAAGCTATAATGTATTGTCCGGTAAACAACTTCAATCAGAACAGCCACCACGAACCGAAGTGATGGAGGAGTTTAGGTCCCGGTGCTGTATAACGTCTGTATGTCCCACTAAGGATGGTCAGGTGTGGACCTCTTACAACAACTCGTGGACTTTACATCTCCTGAACAGGACAGGTCGAGTCACTCGGAAGATAAACCATGGAAACTATATCCGCGACATCAGTGTATCACCTACAACAGATGCACTGTGGACATGTCATTGCTATGACAACAGTGTCAGGCAGCTGTCTTCAGGAAAGTTGGTCCGTGCATTCAACACGAAATATGAACCCCTGTGTATTTGCGTTACTTCTAGTAACCATGTCATTGTTGGGATGGCTAACTCTCTTTCTAAATTCACCACAGATGGTAAAATTGTTCTCACCGCCATGGCTAGAAGAGAAAGGAAACCTTTAGTAAGTAGGCCCCATAGGATAGCCGAATGTCCTGTCACACTCAAGATCGCAGTCATTGATCGCGCTAATAAATATCAGAAGGAGGAAGATGAGAAGAAGGAAGGACATATTGTTGTCATGGATACGGATTTCAATGAACATTTCCGGTACCATGGAGAGATACTTGGTACATGTACGTCTCCGACAGAGCATAATGTATTTAATCCCATGGCTGTCGTATTTGACAGACTGGGAAACCTTATCATTGCAGACCAGCACAACCGGAGACACCTGCTCCTCAGTGTACGCGGGGACATCAAGGTGTTACATACAGATGCGTACAAACCCTGGGCGATGTGTGTGGACAGGGACGACGTTCTGTGGACAGTACATTACCTGGATCATGTCAAATTACTGCGGTACTCTACTGAGAAATAACGCGACAAGGTGTGGCATACGACATAACCAGACAAGTAGATCGACATAATGAGATTATCTAACTCGTGTATGTCGTTATTGACGTCTTGTCGCAATATAATGCTACTCCTGAAATCGACATAGCTAGAAAGCAGTGTGACCACTGTTCGGAAGACGTTCATCAACGCACTAGAAATACTAAAGGCAGCCACGTGTCTTTTCTTCTGGTACTTATGCAGACTGCACGCTTCCATTCGGGTCGACAAGAGTGACTAATATCCCCTTAACTTCCGATTGGATTTAACAGTAGCACAGTTGGGCCAGGACACTTGAACAGGTAGCCCAATCCCCGTTTGGCCTCATTGAATTTTTACACTCAAAACAATGTTGTTGATTTATACTTTGTTTATTTTATTTCTATTTCTCATAAAAGTCCTGCAGTGTGTGGTTTCTTTTCGAAAATGATTTAAATCAAAGCGCTTTAGTAAAGCCGGAAACACTGTTTCTAGTCTCAGGTCTCACGTTTACCAGTGTAAAGATAAAAGCTGTTTTGGCTGGGTGACTCTTGAGGGTCCCTCTGGCTTGTTGCTGCCTCGTGTTTTCTGAAGCGATTAGCTTCAGAATACAGGTCGCGTGACTTAAATTTAGAAATAAATGTAGCGTTATTGCGCCGAAATACACAGGGACCTGATAATTTGTTTCAGCTATATTTGGACCTAAACTCAGGTGTTCAGAGTATTTGTATATGTTTGAGAGGTTTAGATCGTTTTTCGGTAAAAGTGCCTTCCCCAATGATAATAAACATGTATACGAGAAGCCATAAAGTAATAAAAGAATTTGAATTTGAATGTGCATAAATGACATTTATCTTTGTACATGTATTAAAGGATTAAACAAGTATAGACATGTTTAACGGAGTTTAAATTCACAGGTAATTATCATGTTTTTAACACATATTTGTTGTATGTTTTACTTCTAAATTTGACATGGAAACAACAATTGCGACAAAAATATTTCATATTGGCAGACATTAAATCAAAAGCACGTGAGAGGAACATTTAAGCACTTCTACAATCATATTACAGGGTGGGGAACCTACGTCATCAACGGGGATAACGCGGGAATAAAATGGATGCGAGTGGGACTGCTTCTTCGTAAGTACTACACCAATACATCCAAATATTGAGACTGTATTGTTTGCCTGTGTTAACTGTTGAAGATCCCATGTTGCAAAGAGTCTGTCGGTGTAATTGTTTATCTGGTAAAGCGTGTTGTTTCTTCAAAAAGTCGTGTACAGATGTACATCGTACGAACAATTAACGAGGATATGTTAGGACATTTTTGTGGTTTTCATGCATATTGCCTTACAATGTGAGAATGTAACAAATTACATGTCCGAGGATAATATGAATCGAATATAAATGCTTACTGAGATATACCATTTGAGTCATAGGCTCAGAAGTTGTTTGTTTCTCATATTATGGTTAGATATGTAAAATCGGATATCGGTAGGACTTTACAAATACAGGATATCGTGCGGACATATTTGACAATAGATGTTAAAGATTTTCTATTTCAATATCTTCACCTGATGCATGTAATGAGGACACATATTTCGGTCAAACGTATCTTTTGTCACAACCAGCATTTTTTCGAGGTGTTTTATGACGAATTTTGTATATGTTTTCAGCACATATCTATGCACGGAATGTGGACGGAAAGTGGCAAACCCGTCCTCAAAGAGGAAACATGAACTTCGTCACAGGGGTCAGGGAGCTTATAAGTGTGAACAATGCGCTAAACCGTTTCACTGCAAATCTGATATGGACAGGCACGACTGTGCAAACCTCAAACCACGGATGCACGGGTGTGAGAACTGTGATAAAACATTTTTGACCGAGCGCGATTTGAAAAGGCATGTCAAAAGAGAGAGTAAAGAGCTCAGATACAGCTGTGAGCATTGCAATACCCAGTTTGAGGAATTAGCTCAGCTGAAGGACCACCAATCAAAACATGGAGCTGACAAACGCCACAGATGTACCAAGTGCAACAAGAGTTTTGCCTACAGATCCAATCTGTCGAGACATGCAAGGACCCACACAAGCACACTCGAAACGTCTCAATGTAAGCAGTGCAGCAAGGCGTTTAAGACACAACGCTACCTGAAAAGACTCTTGGACAGACATGCCTCAGAGGTTTGCTCTAGTAACATTTGTGGTAAAGTTTTCAAATCCAGGGAGTATCTAAAGAAACATGTTTTGAAACATAACTAGTTTTCCTAAATGTGTGTTACACAGACAGTTACTTATATGTAAAGTGCAAAACGAAAGTAAAATGATACGAAACGAAAATGAAATATCCTAAAATCTGTATGATACGAAACGAAACGAAATATCATTGAATATGTAGTATACGAAACAAACGAAATATTATATCAAAATTCCAGAAAAAAGTGTTCTTGTATGTCTTTTACGATTTGTCTCCCCCTTTCGACAATACATACGCCAAGAAGACAAATCGTACTAGACATGCAAGAAGTATTTTTTTCTGGGATTTTGATTTAATATATTTTGTTTCGTTCCGTAAAATGCAGATTCGATTATATTTAGTTTTGCATTGGTATTAAAATTGAATACACGCACTGTATAATGTTCTGAACTGAAAGTAAGGTTTTGGTGGCAAGCCCAAATTAGAGCTGGATATTGATGTATGCTAAACATATAAATTACTAAAATCATTTTAACATCAAATACATTTATATAGGTATAAGGACGAAGTGTTACATTTTATCCAACCATTAAGCATTAATACGTTTATTTAAGAAAATTTAACTTCGATAGCACATAATATGCGAACTATGTATTTTCAATTTTTCATAAAGTACATTTAAAAGTTAAACCCCCACAAAACTCTCAATGAATCTCTTAATTATCATATTTGATTTCCAAAATGGTTCTGATCATTGACAATGCTCATATCTGTCAACTTCAGTTCTAATATGGACTTAACATGAATCTGAACTCAAATAGCTACCAAATATACAAACGTGCAACATAATATTTGCCGACTGATCATGCATGGTAATTCAACACAGTATTACACAGAAAAAAATACTTCGTGCATGTCTAGTACGATTTGCCTTCTTGGCGTTTGTATTGTCGAAAGGGGGAGACAAATCGTAAAAGACATACAAGAACACTTTTTTCTGGAATTTTGATATAATATTTCGTTTGTTTCGTATACTACATATTCAATGATATTTCGTTTTGTTTCGTATCATACAGATTTTAGGATATTTCATTTTCGCTTCGTATCATTTTACTTTCGTTTTGCACTTTACATATAAGTAACTGTCTGTGTAACACACATTTAGGAAAACTAGTTATGTTTCAAAACATGTTTCTTTAGATATTCCCTGGATTTGAAAACTTTACCACAAATGTTACTAGGGCAAACCTCTGAGGCATGTCTGTCCAAGAGTCTTTTCAGGTAGCGTTGTGTCTTAAACGCCTTGCTGCACTGCTTACATTGAGACGTTTCGAGTGTGCTTGTGTGGGTCCTTGCATGTCTCGACAGATTGGATCTGTAGGCAAAACTCTTGTTGCACTTGGTACATCTGTGGCGTTTGTCAGCTCCATGTTTTGATTGGTGGTCCTTCAGCTGAGCTAATTCCTCAAACTGGGTATTGCAATGCTCACAGCTGTATCTGAGCTCTTTACTCTCTCTTTTGACATGCCTTTTCAAATCGCGCTCGGTCAAAAATGTTTTATCACAGTTCTCACACCCGTGCATCCGTGGTTTGACGTTTGCACAGTCGTGCCTGTCCATATCAGATTTGCAGTGAAACGGTTTAGCGCATTGTTCACACTTATAAGCTCCCTGACCCCTGTGACGAAGTTCATGTTTCCTCTTTGAGGACGGGTTTGACACTTTCCGTCCACATTCCGTGCATAGATATGTGCTGAAAACATATACAAAAATCGTCAAAAAACACCTCGAAAAAAAAGCTGGTCGTGACAAAAGATACGTTTGACCGAAATATGTATCCTCATTACATGCATCAGGTAAAGATATTGAAATAGAAAATCTTTAACATCTATTGTCAAAAATGTCCGCACGATATCCTGTATTTGTAAAGTCCTACCGATATCCGATTTTACATTTCTCACCATAACATAAGAAACATACAACTTCTGAGCCTATGACTCAAATGGTATATCTCAGTAAGCATTTATATTCGATTCATATTATCCTCGGACATGTAATTTGTTACATTCTCACATTGTAAGGCAATATGCATGAAAACCACAAAAATGTCCTAACATATCCTCGTTAATTGTTCGTACGATGCACAACTGTACACGACTTTTTGAACAATTACACCGACAGACTCTTTGCAACATGGGATCTTCAACAGTTAACATAGGCAAACAATACAGTCTCAATATTTGGATATATTGGTGTAATACTTACGACGAAGCAGTCCCACTCGCATCCTTTTTATTCCCGCGTTATCCCCGTTGATGGCGTAGGTTCCCCACCCTTTCCTAGTGATAGACAAGCATCCGAATCTGATAGAGTAAATCACATATTTTGGCTCCACTCCTGGCGATGGACAAACATAGTTCATCCCCGACGTGAGGTTTAAACAGCAAAATCTCATCGATTTAACTATGGACATAACATCCCTCAATTTCATTGTTCACAAGCAAGGTAAGAATGAAAAAAGATGTGAACGTTAACATTTCCTGTTTGACAAAAGTCACTTCTATTACAAAACCGATAGCGGAACTTTCAGGACCGGAAGTGAAGCATTGAGCATCACCTGAAGTAGAACTTTCAGACCCAAAGGAGGACGATAAAAAAACATGTTATCGCAAAATAAAGACCTGCAGTCTTGTTAATGACCCTAATGTACGTCGCAGATACTATTTAAGTTCTTCACAATAAGTTTTAAATGAACAAAATACAACAGCCAGCAAAGTTAACGCGAAAGGAATTTAATGTTTCTTCAAACCTGCTAAGATAATACTAAACACAGTATGTTATGAAATGTAGAGGTACAAAGTGCCACATTCCTATTACTGCTCATCCTACACATCCGTGTGATAGGAAGAGAATAGTTCTTAGAACTCGCAGACAGTGCTGCAGAGGTCAAGTGCCACATTCGAATTTAGAAAACCATCGGATATGGAACTGCATCAGATTGCTATTGTGTAGAAAAATCAGACAAACAATACCATGGTTTTCACACTACATAATCTTTATTAACAAATATTTTAATAATTTTAATGAGGTAGATTCTTAAAAATCCACAAATTCATAATAAGCATGTCTATACAATGTATAATCAACATTGAAACGCTTCCAATAAACAGGTGTAAATAAAGTCAATGCTATCAGTACCTGAGTGTGAGTATCACAGTGTTTGGTCATTTATACCAAGGAAACTGCAGGGAATCGATGATGTAAATGATTAATTAGTATTATTAAGACAAATTGTAAGTTTTGTGGCATATGTTGTAAAAAATGTTACGTTTTGTGATATTTTTAAACAGTGACCTAATTACCACTCTAGTCCCTTTAATTTGAGGAACGTTGATGAAACGGGACCAAGTTCTTATTCTTGTTCACCAATAGTCTTATTAAATCTGGAATACGAGGCTTTTTGTTCGGTTTTACACCGCGATTAACCAACGAGAATCAGGCTTGAACTTTCTAACAAGGTAACAAGAAATTGAATATAGTTAGCTCTTCTTTCACCAGGTATGTGCTATTTCATCGTTTGTCTGGTGTGTATGTAACTATTGTTTGAGTTATCGTAACTGTGTTAAGCTCTCCCTTTGAGTTATCGTTAGTGTGTTTAGCTCTCCCTTTGAGTTATCGTAACTGTGTTTAGCTATCGTAGCTGTGTTAAGCTCTTCCTTTGAGTTATCGTAAGTGTGTTTAGTTATCGTAACTGTGTTAAGCTCTTCCTTTGAGTTATCGTTAGTGTGTTTAGTTATCGTAACTGTGTTAAGCTCTTCCTTGGAGTTATCGTAACTGTGTTTAGCTATCGTAACTGTGTTTAACTATCGTACCTGTATGTAGCTCTTCCTTTGAGTTATCGTAAGTGTGTTTAGTTATCGTAACTGTGTTAAGCTCTTCCTTTGAGTTATTGTAAGTGTGTTTAGTTATCGTAAGTGTGTTAAGCTCTCCCTTTGAGTTATCGTTAGTGTGTTTAGCTATCGTAACTTTGTTAAGCTCTTCCTTTGAGTTATCGTAACTGTGTTTAGCTCTTCCTTTGAGTTATCGTAACTGTGTAAAGCTCTTCCTTTGAGTTATCGTAAGTGTGTTAAGCTCTCCCTTTGATTTATCGTAACTGTGTTTAGCTATCGTAACTGTGTTAAGCTCTTCCTTTGAGTTATCGTAACTGTGTTTAGCTCTCCCTTTGAGTTATCGTTAGTGTGTTTAGCTCTCCCTTTGAGTTATCGTAACTGTGTTTAGCTAAGGTAACTGTGTTAAGCTCTTCCTTTGAGCTATCGTAATTGTGTTAAGCTCTCCCTTTGAGTTATCGTAACTGTGTTAAGCTCTTCCTTTGAGTTATCGTAAGTGTGTTAAGCTCTCCCTTTGAGTTATCGTAATTGTGTTAAGCTCTTCCTTTGAGTTATCGTAACTGTGTTTAGTTATCGTAACTGTGTTAAGCTCTTCCTTTGAGTTATCGTAACTGTTTAACTATCGTAACTGTGTTTAGCTATCGTTACTGTATGTAGCTGTTCCTTTGAGTTATCGTAATTGTGTTTAGCTCTCCCTTTGAGTTATCGTAACTGTATTTAGTTATCGTAACTGTGTTAAGCTCTTCCTTTGAGTTATCGTAACTGTTTAACTATCGTAACTGTGTTTAGCTGTTCCTTTGAGTTATCGTAACTGTGTTTAGCTCTTCCTTTGAGTTATCGTAACTGTGTTAAGCTCTTCCTTTGAGCTATCGTTATTGTGTTAAGCTCTTCCTATAGTTATTGTAACTTCCTTTGACTTGTGTGTGTTGGTCTTCCTTTGACTTGTGTGTGTTGGTCTTCCTTTGACGTGTAAGTGTGCATGAAGAAGTTGGAGAACAACAGCACCAGTGTGATGGCGTATATAAACACAGCGTAGTTAAATCCGATGGGGAAATCACAGTCGGTCGTCATGTTGTAGCCAGTGTGCAGTATGACAGCAAAAAACTGACTCTGTAACCAAAGAAAATATCAGTTAAAACAGAAATACGTTTTATGTAGTTTCTTTGGTCGTAGAAGAAGGCTGACTTATTTCAAGGCGCTAATCAACAATCTGCCAATAACGCATCTAAAGATTTATCTCGTGGCTGGCAGTGTGAGTTGCCTAAGAGACGAAGAATGACAGAGGATGGGAAGGGTAAGGACGGGAAGGGTTAGGACGGGTGGAATGTATTCTGTTCCACTTAGAAATAGCAAAGAAATATACTCGGAAAGACCGATATGGGTGAAATTTGTTTGGGTGGATTTTTGGAGGGGTGAGTGATATTCAGTCAAAATTGAAAAATACCCCTAGGGAAGTTCATCTACGGCAACTATCTCAAACAATTTTAACTTGTTATTACCATCTAAGCAATGGTATCATTCCAATTTTATAACTGGATTATGGCAAGGAATTAGATTGCTATCTAAGTCCGTGATTAAAGTTTACGAAAATCTATCTTATAATAGACGTGCTTTGGTATAGAGTTTCTCCTTAAAGATTTTACTATAACAGCCCTACTTAGGCGTGACTTCCTAGTCTTACAAGTAACACTTACCAATTGAAGTATTGTAAGATAGCGTTTCCACCATAAATATTTCTGCATGTGTGGACCAAGGGCAGACAACCCGTAGTATGTGTACATCAAAATATGGACGAAACAATTCAGCATTGCCAGAAACCAAGCTTCAAAGAAAAACGCATTAATATGTACATGTATCTTTAGTTCTTCATTAGCAATAATTCATTGCTTTCGGAAGCCCATATTAATATTGGAGGTGTGGTTTATAGGATGCGAAAAACAAATCCATAAAAACATGTTATACTAAAATAATTTCATATCTACGTCATAGCAATGCTCTCTGAGCAAGAAATACATTTAAAATAAGGCAAGGCAAAAAGTGTTGTTTTTTTTAGTTAAAGTAACCCTACCAACCCTCAACTTATTTTAGGCAAGTTAAAGTTAAAATAACTTTATAAAACACTTAAATTATTTTTTTAATAAAATAAGTTCCCTATCTACGGACCCTAAATTTTTCAAACATGTTACATGAAATACACTGATTTTTTTGTTTGCTACAGTGCATGTCGAATTGGTGTTACAGTTATCTCCCTTGCCGCTATATGCATATGTATATAATTACATTTAACAAGAGGCCCAATGGGCCTGCATCGCTCACCTGGTATTAATCTCACACTTGTAATCTTAAATGTTGACTAAAATACAGCTACAGGCAGAATATCAGTGTTTGGTTCATAAGAACCTATTAAAAGATTTAAATATATGATGCCTGTGACCTTGAATGTCGAACAAGGACATTAGGTTGAACAGAGTTTTTAGTCTTCCAACCCAGCATGCTTCTGGCAAAATATCATTACCCTAAACCTTTTGGTTATACAGAACAAATCATTTAAAGATTTAAATATCTATTCACCACTGTGACCTTGGATAGGGTGAAGGTCATTCACTTGGTAGTCCTTCATCCCAGCATGTTAATAACCAAATATCATCACTCTTGGCCTTTGCTTATTAAGAAGAGGTCATTGGTTTTAAACATATTTGACCCCTGTGACCTTGAATATAAGGCAAGGCCATTTATTTGAACAAACTTGGTAGCCCTGCATTCCAGCATGTTACTGGCCAAATATCATCATCCTAGGCCTCTCAGTAATTCAGAAGAAGTTGTAGAAAGGTTTTGAACATATTTGACCCCTGTGACCTTGAATATAAGGCAAGGTCATTTATTTGAACAAGCTTGGTAGCCCTTCATTCCAGCATGTTACTGGCCAAATATCATCATCCTAGGCCTCTTGGTTATTCAGAAGAAGTTGTTTAAAGGTTTTGAACATATTTGACCCCTGAGACCTTGAATATAAGGCAAGGCCATTTATTTGAACAAACTTGGTAGCCCTGCATTCCAGCATGTTACTGGCCAAATATCATCATCCTAGGCCTCTTGGTTTTCAGAAGAAATTGTTTAAAGGTTTTGAACATATTTGACCCCTGAGACCTTGAATATAAGGCAAGGCCATTTATTTGAACAAACTTGGAAGCCCTTCATTCCAGCATGTTACTGGCCAAATATCATCATCCTAGGCCTCTTGGTTATTCAGAAGAAGTTGTTTAAAGGTTTTGAACATATTTGACCCATGTGACCTTGAATATAAGACAAGGCCATTTATTTGAACAAACTTGGTAGCCCTGCATTCCAGCATGTTACTGGCCAAATATCATCATCCTAGGCCTCTCAGTAATTCAGAAGAAGTTGTAGAAAGGTTTTGAACATATTTGACCCCTGTGACCTTGAATATAAGGCAAGGTCATTTATTTGAACAAACTTGGTAGCCCTTCATTCCAGCATGATACTGGCCAAATATCATCATCCTAGGCCTCTTGGTTTTCAGAAGAAATTGTTTAAAGGTTTTGAACATATTTGACCCATGTGACCTTGAAAATGGATGAAGGGCATTTATTTGAACAAACTTGGTAGCCCTTCATCCCAGTTTGCTTGTGGCCAAATATCATCACCCTAGGCCTTTCGGTTATTAAGAAGAAGTCGTTTAAAGTAAAATATTGACGCCGGACGACGGACGGACGACGGACGGACGGACGGACGGGCGGACGACGGAGGCCGCACCACGGCATAAGCTCACTTGGCACTTTGTGCCAGGTGAGCTGAAGGTCATTCACTTGGTAGTCCTTCATCCCAGCATGTTACTGGCATTATATTAGGCCTCTTGGTTATTCAGAAGAAGTCGTTTAAAGGTTAAAAACATATTTGACCCATGTGACCTTGAAAATGGATCAAGCTCATTTATTTGAACAAACTTGGTAGCCCTTCATTCCAGCATGATACTGGCCAAATATCATCATCCTAGGCCTCTTGGTTATTCAGAAGAAGTTGTTTAAAGGTTTTGAACATATTTGACCCATGTGACCTTGAAAATGGATCAAGCTCATTTATTTGAACAAACTTGGTAGCCCTTCATCCCAGTTTGCTTCTGGCCAAATATCATCACCCTAGGCCTTTCGGTTATTAAGAAGAAGTCGTTTAAAGTAAAATATTGACGCCGGACGACGGACGGACGACGGACGGACGGACAGACGGACGGACGACGGACGCCGCACCACGGCATAAGCTCACTTGGCACTTTGTGCCAGGTGAGCTAAAAATGAAAAATCCTCGAAGCTATAAAATTATTGAGCATAATATACGTTTTCATTGTAAAATTATGAGTGCAATTTTATCGGTTTCATTTTGGCGAGGAATATCGTTTGCGGCGACAACACACAAACTTAAATACCACAAATATAAGGAAATACTTATATCTAAATCATTAATAGTTTTATCTTTATAATGTGAATATGTCTATGGAACAGAGATGGTTTCTAATATGCATGCAAGTATAAACGCAAATAGGTTACACCAATACGTAGCATGGAACCCTCATCATTCTCGATATTCCAGAGGTTACGTTAACGTTCGCTCTTTGCAGAGAACGTAATCCCTGGATATGAAAGTAACCGATTTGCGTTCATACCGGCATTAACATTTATCAAGAAATCCTTCAATCCAAATATACTTCACTATCTTATTTACTCTAGTTCGACCTTGAACTGTTGTAACTAACCTTGACCTCCAGCCACGAACTTGACCCCTAACCACCAGTTAAGTGGCATGGTGCTGTGGTGATACACGTGAAGAAAAGTGATCTGTTCGTTTTTCTTTCTTAGTATAAAAAATGTCTGAAACAAAATAGGAACTTATGGAACTTAACGCTGAGATCAGAATGCCATTGGCAATACATAAGAAAACAACAAAAAACATATATGATAAACAAATAGATCTGAAAGTCACATTCCGGTAAATGCACTTTGGGTTATACTTACAGTGTCTAAAAATTCTATGATTTTGGAGAAAAAATACCACCAACAGACACTCGCCATCTGTAAACAGAGAATGTAAATGAGAAAGGAGCTAAATGGAGAAGGATATTGAATTATTTTACGGGAGAGTTTTTATTAGAAGAGCGCTATAAATGAAACAATGCAGTTTATATTAACAGATCAAAGGGTTTCGAGGATTTACCTTTTTAAAATCATATGGTGTGTTTTTTTATAAATGTATAATTGGGCCTTTCCTGATGTGTGAGGGGAAATGTTAGGATTTTAATGTTTAGATCAAATTCCTGTCATATTGTGATGAATTCTCGTGTCCCTGTGACACATACTAGTTCCGTTTCGGGGCCTGAGATTCGCCACCAGTTCACAAAGTATTTGAAAAAGCACATGTACTAAAAGTCTCACCCGAGGAAAGGGCGTATATAGGATACGTATGTATCCGATTAGGGCGTATATAGGATACGTTTGTTACCCTATCCGATTAATTATTCAATCAATAAAATATGTTTCCAATTGAAAAGTCTCACCCGTAGTGCTAAAGGGTCATTGGAGTAATTGACCGGTTGACATCTTAGACTGTACCCGGCCTGAACACTGGTCACTAGGAACTGTAATTAACGTAAATAAAACATAAATGAATAACTCAAATGCGTTTCTTAATTTCTTGATAGTGTTATACGGGTTTATTTTAAATAATCAGATATGTTTTAGTCTGTAATTTTATGTCTTTTTGAGCGTGTCGTCAGTGGGGACACAATTATTCCTGTCGTTACCAAAGGTTGACAAACATATAATATAAGCTGCCATTCTAACATATCATAAAATGTTTTGTGCTATCATAAAAATGAGCTGTTAGGTTTTATCTCGAGGGTAAACAAAGACTTAATATTATATAAAATGTAACCGTTTAGTCATTCTGTTTGAGAATTACAACCTACCTCGTAAAACATGTAAGCAGAAAGGCCGACCAACCCTAGATTGTAGACCACTAGGACAGAATTGAGGGAGACCGGCTTTTGTTGTACCATTACCCTAGGACCGTGGTATACCATCACCAGGTATAGTGCCACTAACGTCAGGACGGGCACCGGGGATTCCATCAGGGGCCACGCCTCGACCCGGGGGTCTGGGGACAGAAGTACAGATGACACAAGTTGGGGACATAGCACATAGGTGGAGATACTTTGGTACAATTTTTTTTTACAGAAGTCCCAGATTTGATTTAACACAACAGCAATGATGTTCAAACATGAGAAATATAATTACCGGCGAAGGAAACGGAAATACAGGCCCCACTGTTATTTTGAATCAGTTCATTTGTTTTACTTGTAAAAGTTTCCTGTCATTTTGATTCTTATTTAAACATTTATACAAACATCAGTCATAATCCAACGCTTCCCATTGTAAACAACGGACCCTGAATTCGTGCTACATGTAGTTATAATAATGTGAAAAGTTGTATACACTTTCGGTATTTTCATCTCACAAAATTTACTATTAAATCATGTAACTGTCAATGTTAATATGTCTTGTCTCTGCTGTGGTAGAATTCAATTTACACAAAATCAGAACCGACATTATACTTATTTTGTTGTATTAAACTTACCTCCTTTAGATAATGCCCAGTCATAAAGGTCTTTGGTTGTGTGTAAAACATCCATGATTTCACCTACAAAAAAACAGATATCGGCATAATCACGATTTTTTGACACCGAGGAAATATTTTCAATTATCATGTATTGTATCCTAAACGCATTGCAATAGCAAAACTTACAAAGGGGATATATGGGACAACTAACCAAAAACAATGACGTAGTTTGTAAAAAAGGGGAAATAATTTCCAAACTCATACGGTGTCATTGATTGACTCTCACATCTTTATTGAATCTTAATTTTTATATATGTATATTTCCATTTCCTGCAAGTAGGACTATGAGCATTACCATAAGAAATTACGATCATAGGGCTTTGAACGCAATTGGATCAGCGTCATTTCGAAGCTTCTCCTCTCGCCTCGAATAACATGAGACAACCGTTGGAAGCAAACATTTTGATGACGTTAAGCTGTTCCAGGAATCTCGTTTGCACTGACAACATACACACATCAATATTGGAAATATAAGGGAATATCTGTATTTAGGTCGATAATAAATAAAAATTAAGAATCTAAATATAAGGATTGAACGGTGTAATTCTATTCAGTCCTTCTATATTGTTTATATATACAGTCCTTAATAATGTATTATTTTTCGTGTGTGAGGTGACGTGTATGCTTCAACATTCTCCCATACGTTAACCATACCCACACTATATATAGAGAACCCCCCACAAATTCAACCCATAATACAAACACCTCCACCATTTTAATAATGGGCATCGGAAACAGAAATCTACCAAACATGGTTACAGACTGTATTTTACAATGATTCTTTGACGTAAAGTCACCATCACCCTGTCCAACCACACCCCAACCTTACCTAACCACACCCAACCACGCCCGCCACACTCATAACACGTGCACGCGACCCTGAAGCAACATATATACCATATTACATACCCTTGGTGTTCAGCAGTTGACCTCGTTCCTAATTCCTCAGTTTGGTATTATGTACGGGTCAAACAAACCTGACTATTAATCAATACCCGCTGACCAATGCGTCTGATTAAAGGGGTCTGATAGACAGCACAGGTAGCGAGGATAGAGGTGTTAAACATATACAAAAGAACATACTACAAAATAAACGAGCGCTTCATTGTGTGTGGAGATCTACTATAGGTGTATATGTATACGAGTTGGCACATGTTAGAACCGGTTACACAACCAATTAAGCACGTGTACCGACCTAAGTATACCACCCGTACACCGGCTGGGTATACGTAGTAGGTAGTACACATGTAATGTCAAATAAGAGGTCACACATCGGCCGGCCGGTACAATGTGAGTATAGTGCCCTTGTACTAAGTGGCGGATTAATTAGTGGCCACACACCCGGTACCTAGTACACGTACCGGATTAATCACTGTGACTGTACAAAGGTTCTAAATTTAGTCTCGTCTATATATAAATGAACTGCTCCAAAAGATTCAATGGTATCGACAATGGTGGCGAAAAGCAAATACCATGCAGTGATTGAAATCCAATTTCAAACAGCTGTCTTCCATAATTTGGGTTTACACATCGATAAGCTGAAATTGAAGGATTTGATTTTAATATAACTGCATACTAATGTTTCTCTCCTATAATATTATAACGATGGTTAGTCTTTATTGGGTATCGCTGAAAGTTCCAAGATCCTGGTGATATACTATCTATCTACCTATCTGATAGCTGAAGATATTATTTTCACAGTTCAATAAACAATGGATCCAATTGTAAATTATGAGAGCTCAATAAACGTTAAGCAATACCTTCCTATCAGCCACCCAATTATTCCCTATATAGTTTTAATGTAAATGTACTTTTAAGACATTTAAAATGGGTAAGGTACGATAATTTTCCGCCGGATATATCTTGACAAAATATGAAATAAAAGTGAAATAAAATAAAGCTTCAGGAAAAATATCAATATTTACGACTTAAAGTCATTCTAAAGAACCTGTTTAAAGTTTTAAGCTTATTGGACCCCTGTAACCTTAAAAATATAAGGACAATGAATCTAACTTCATAGCCTTTCATCCCAGCATCAACTTGTTAAATGTAAACCACCCTAGACATTTTATTTATTGAGATGAGGTACCTCTGACATGACATGTTACAATGACCTCCTCTGACGTCACATATGTAACAGTGACCTCACCTCTGATATCATGATACAATGACCTTTCCTCTGACGTCATATGTAACAATGAACTTTCCTCTGACGTCACGTTACAATGAACTTTCCTCTGACGTCACGATACACTGACCTTTCCTCTGACACCACATGTTACATTGACCTTTCTTTTGACATCACATTTTACAATGACTTGCCTCTGACATCACGTTACAATGACCTTTCCTCTGACATCACATGTTACAATGACTATTCTTCTGACATAACGTTACATTGACCTTTCCGCTGAAATCATATTTTAAAATGACTTTCCTCTAACATCACGTTACAATGACCTTTCCTCTGACATCATATTTTACAATGACATTTCCTCTGACGTCACGTTACAATGACCTTTCCTCTGACATCACATGTTACAATGACCTTTCCTCTGACATCACATTTTACAATGACTTTCCTCTGACATCACGTTACAATGACCTTTCCTCTCACATATTTTAAAATGACTTTCCTCTGACATCACATTACAATGACCTTCCTCTAACATCATATTTTACAATGACCTTTCCTCTGACGTCACGTTACAATGACCTTTCCTCTGACATCACGTTACAGTGACCTTTCCTCTGATGTCATGTTACAATGACTTTCCTCTGATGTCATGTGTTACAATGACCTTTCCTCTGACGTCACTTTACAATGATCTTTCCTCTAACATCACGTTACAATGACCTTTCCTCTGACATCATATTTTACAATCACCTTTCCTCTGACGTCACGTTAAAATGACCTTTCCTCTGACATCACATGTAACAATGACCTTTCCTCTACCCTCACACGTTACAATGACCTTTCCTCTGACGTCACAGTACAATGATCTTTCCTCTGACATCACATGATACAATGACCTTTCCTCTGACGTCATATGTAACAATGACCTTTCCTCTGACGTCAAGTTACAATGAACTTTCCTCTGACATCACGTTACAATCACCTTTCCCCTGACACCACATGTTACAATGACCTTTCCTCTTTCATCACATTTTACAATGACTTTCCTCCGACGTCACATGTCACAATGACCTTTCCCTTGACGTCACGTTACAATGACTTTTCCTCTAAAGTCTCGTATTATAATAACTTTCCTCCAACATCACATGTTACAATGACCTTTTCTCTGATGTCAAGTTACAATGACCTTTCCTCTGACACCACATGTTACATTGACCTTTCTTTTGACATCACATTTTACAATGACTTTCCTCTGACGTCACGTAACAAAGACCTTTCCTCCGACATCACATATTACAGTGACATTTCCTCTGACGTCACATGTTACAATGACCTTTCCTCTGTCCTCACATTACAATGACCTTTCCTCTGACGTCCCATTACAATGAAATTTCCTCTGATGCACGTAACAATTACTTTTCCTCTGACGTCACGAGACAATGACTTTTCCTCTGACGTTATGTTACAATGACTTTTCCTCTAAAGTCTCGGGTTATAATAACTTTCCTCTCATGTCACGTTACAATGACCTTTCCTCTGACATCACATGTTACAATGACCTTTCCTCTGACGTCACGTTACAATGACACTTTCCTCTGACGTCACGTTACAATGACCTTTCCGCTGACGTCACATGTTACAATGCCCTTTCCTCTGTCCTCACATTACAATGACCTTTCCTCTGACGTCCCATGACAATGAAATTTCCTCTGATGCACGTAACAATTACTTTTTCTCTGACGTCATGTGACAATGACTTTTCCTCTGACGTTATGTTACAATGACTTTTCCTCTAAAGTCTCGGGTTATAATAACTTTCCTCTGATGTCACGTTACAATGACCTTTCCTCTGACATCATATGTTACAATGACCTTTCCTCTGACGTCACGTTACAATGACACTTTCCTCTGACGTCACGTTACAATGACCTTTCCGCTGACATCACATGTTATAATGACCTTTCTTTTGACATCACATTTTACAATGATTGGCCTCTGACATCATGTTACAATGACCTTTCCGCTGACATCATATTTTAAAATGACTTTCCTCTGACGTCAAGTTACAATGACCTTTCCACTGACATCACATGTTACAATGACCTTTCCTCTGACGCCACGTTACAATGACCTTTCCTCTGACATCACATGTTACAATGACCTTTCCTCTGACATCACGTTACAATGACCTTTCCGCTGACATCATATTTTAAAATAACTTTCCTCTGACGTCAAGTTACAATGACCTTTCCAGTGACATCACATGTTACAATTACCTTTTCTCTGACGTCACGTTACATTGACTTTTCCTCTAAGTTCTCGGGTTATAATAACTTTCCTCTGATGTCACGTTACAATGACCTTTCCTCTGACATCACATGTTACAATGACCTTTCTTCTGACATCACATTTCATAATGACTTTCCTCTGACATCACGTTACAATGACCTTTTCGCTGACATCATATTTTTAAAGTGACTTTCCTCTGACATCACGTTACAATGACCTTTCCTCTGACATCATATTTTACAATGACCTTTCCTCTGACGTCTCGTTACAATGACCTTTCCTCTTACATCACATGTTACAATGACCTTTCTTCTGACATCACATTTTACAATAACTTTCCTCTGACATCACGTTATAGTGACCTTTCCTCCGACATCATATTCTAAAATGATTTTCCTCTGACATCAGGTTATAATGATCTTTCCACTGACATCATATTTTGCAATGACCTTTTCTCTGACATCTCGTTACAATGACCTTTCCTCTGATGTCATATTATAATGACTTTCCTCTGATGTCATGTTACAATAACTTTCCTCTGATGTCATGTGTTACAATGACCTTTCCTCTGATGTCATGTGTTACAATGACCTTTCCTCTGATTTCATGTGTTACAACGACCTTTCCTTTAATGACACATGTATGACCTTTTTGATGTCATTTGTTATATTGACCTTTCCTCTGATGTCATGTGTTACAAAGACCTTTCCTCTGATGTCCTATGTATAACCTTTGTGATGTCATGTGTTACAATGAGCTTTCCTCTGAAGTCATGTGTTATGATGACCTTTCCTCTGACGTCATGTGTTACAATGACCTTTCCTTTAACGTCCCATGTATAACCTTTGTGATGTCATGTGTTACAATAACCTTTCCTCTAATATCCCATGCATAACCTTTGTGATGTCATGTGTTACAATGACCTTTCCTCTGACGTCATTTGTATGACCTTTTTGATATCATGTGTTATAATGTCCTTTCCTCTGACATCACATTCTATAATGACCTTTCCTCTGACATCAAAGGCTACAATGACCTTTCCTCTAACGTCCCATATATAACCTTTGTGATGTCATGTGTTACACAATGACCTTTCCATTAATGTCCCATGCATAACCTTTGTGATGTCATGTGTTACAATGACCTTTCCTCTGACGTCATTTGTATGACCTTTTTGATATCACATGTTACAGTGACCTTTCCTCTGACATCACATGCTACAATGACCTTTCCTCTGACATCACATGCTACAATGACCTTTCCTCTCGCGTTATGTGTAATATAGATAGGATTGATCAGCATGACCTTAAACCTGGCTTTTTATAAAAAAAAATACGAACCATCAGTTACTGAGTAAACATTTTTATTTTTTTTAAGAATTGAATTAAATGTCTGTTTAAGACAGGTTGATACAATAAAATTAAGAGTTACAAGAGATAAATTTTAAATCTACAGACACATAAATAAGAGCATGTTTTTAAAAATCATAATTTTTAAAGTTTCAATGCATTTAAATTATTCTGACTTACACAAAATCACAACAAATACTTTTTGACATTTCACACAAACAAAAAATAAAATCTCTCACAAAATCCAACATATTTAAAAATCATTGAAATTAATCTTCGTAATCAAAATCAAAAGAAATGTTATGTAAAAATGTTATGTATAAAAAGTTTTGATTGGCACACACTCCAAACACTGTGTTCTACGAACAATGTATTCCTATATTCTTAGTAATACATAAACACATTGGCTACATCTCATCAGGTCTCATAGCTCACTCTTAAATACACTAAACACAAACATTTACATGATTTAGTTTCTAGTGTTGACAACACCGATAAAGTCAGGAGAATTTGTGTGGATTTGGTGAAATTCCAGAAATTGTCAAATGATTGTCAACTTCAGAAAAGTAACATATTAAAACATGTTCAAACAGGTCATGGAAACAATACTTCAACAAGATGACACAAATATTGCTTCAACACGATAACATAAACCCTGCTTCAAATGCTAATACGAAGATTTGTAAGACAGTGCTGCCACGAATGATCAACACAATCAGAAATGAATTACATGTATTGAAGAAGTGCTTGGAATTACATAATTATATAAATCATACGAGAAAGCTGTTGTTCACAGCAGGAATGGTACAATGCCTTTCCTCCTCCTGGGGTAGTCTTTGAATTCCTTCTTATAATTACGGTGTTTACCCAGAGCCCACACTGCCATCTGATAAAATCCACAGGTGGTAAATAGCAAGGCTGTAACATAAAACAACCAGCTAGTGTTACAGGTGGTAAATAGCAGGGCTGTAACATAAAACAATCAGCTAGTGTTACAGGTGGTAAATAGCAGGGCTGTAACATAAAAGATAATCATTTTGTCATTATACTTAAGCTGATAAATATTTTAGTTAAAACCAGAATTTCATTTTGTCATTGCAATGAAGCTGGTCTCAGTTTGACTTTCCAGGTAAACATTGCAATATTACACTGAAGCAGGTCCAAATTTAACATCCAGGCTAACTTTTGTCATTACATTGGAGCTGGTCTACATTTGACTTACACGACAAACATTTTGTCACTACACTGAATTCTGGTCCAAATTTAACTTAACAGAAAAAGACTTTCCAGGTAAACACTGCGACATTAGACTGAAGCTGGTCTTCATTTGACCTACCTGAAAACATTTGTCATTACACTTTAGTTGGTCCACATTTGACTTACAAGACAAACATTTTGTCACTACAGTCAAGCTGGTACAAGTTTTACTTACCAGGTAAACATTGTGTCATTACGCTGAAGCTGACCCATGCGACAGTCTCATATGTGTAGTTAGGACATGAAACGAAGTTAAACATGGCCGTGAATGGGTTAGAGGTCTGTACGGGGATACGCCTCTCCTTTGTTCCTGCAACACATTACGGGTAGATGAACAATCCTGTCTCAGGCCCAAAAAACACTAGCATAGCTAACACTATCAATATCTAATGTGACTGGACACTGTGGTTCATGCATAAACATTTGAGATCAATATCTTTGTTTTTATCTTTCTGGACAATCTGATTAAAGTTTAATAAAAGATTTGATTTCATAAAAATGTACATGTATTAATATGTGGACAAAATTTTGATCAGAATGTTAAAAAAAATGTCATTTTACAAATATGCTGGAGTCTTAAACAGATAGTCATATGTACAAAAGCTAGCTAGACAACTAACTTTTAAAAATATTTTTAAATTTGAATATTTAATTCTTACCTTTCAAAACTGAACTACAAATATTTGTATAGATTTGCTTACCTGCTGGTCTGAGGTTCCTAAAGGCCAGATGTATAGAGAAGTTCCCTAGTTCACCGAACTGGAATATAAAAACAATCTTCAGTACAATTACCAAGTGTGAAGAGAAATCATACTATTATGGTTGGCCGAGAAATCTTTAACAGGTGAACCAAGAGACAATTTTCTGTGAATGGCGAGAGAAAACTGAAATAAAAGCTGGCTCCTGTTTATGTGAGGAGAAACAAAAAGTTGTGTGCAAGTTGTGTGTGTATAGAAAACGTATTGGGGGCATCACTTGTAAACCAGTTCAGTAGGCAGTTAATGGTGTACTTACGATGAAACCAGCCAGGGCACCATACACCTGGGCATCACCATAGGCTGAAAAACATAAATAGTAACAGCTTGTAAGGCAGCTTGTAAAAGATGTCACAGGGCTCACTATTCTGAACATTAACACTGTGGCATAAACACACGGGCACACTATTCTAAACATAAACACTGTGGCATAAACACATGGCACGCTATTCTGAACATAAACACTGTGGCATAAACACACAGCACGCTATACTGAACATAAACACTGTGGCATAAACACATGGGCACACTATTCTAAACATAAACACTGGCATAAACACATGGCACGCTATACTGAACATAAACACTGTGGTATAAACACATGGGCACACTATTCTGAACATAAACACTGTGGCATAAACACATGGGCACACTATTCTGAAATCTTCCTGACAGTGATCTAACTTATAAATCCTGATGATAGTTATGTTATATGGTGGTAGTAACATGGACTTACTTGGTGGGGTGTACAGTGGATGATTGACAAAGTAACTAATCATGGCAGCAAATCCCCAGTAGTAGGTGCTATTCTGTAAACATAAAAATACATCACTGTGTGATAACTAACTACAAACATACAATTGTTACAAACCAAACATAACAGTAGAAACATAAAACTACTGTCACAATGCTAACATAACAGTAGAAAAATAAAACTACTGTCACAATGCTAACATAATAGTAGAAACATAAAACTACTATTACAATGCTAACATAACAGTAGAAACATAAAACTACTGTCACAATGCTAACATAACAGTAGAAAAATAAAACTACTATTACAATGCAAACATAACAGTAGAAACATAAAACTACTATTACAATGCTAACATAACAGTAGAAATATAAAACTACTGCAACAATGCTAACATAACAGTAGAAACATAAAACTACTATTACAATGCTAACATACCAGTAGAAACATTAAACTACTTTTACAATGCAAACATAATAGTAGAAACATAAAACTACTGTCATAATGCCAACATAACAGTAGAAACATAAAACTACTGCCACAATGCAAACATAACAGTAGAAACATAAAACTACTATTACAATGCTAACATAACAGTAGAAACATTAAACTACCATTACAATGCAAACATAATAGTAGAAACATAAAACTACTGTCATAATGCCAACATTACAGTAGAAACATAAAACTACTGCCACAATGCAAACTTAACAGTAGAAACATAAAACTACTGTCACAATGCAAACATAACAGTAGAAACATAAAACTATTATCACAATGCCAACATAACAGTAGAAACATAAAACTACTGTCACAATGCTAACATAACAGTAGAAACATAAAACTACTGTCATAATGCCAACATAACAGTAGAAACATAAAAATACTGCCACAATGCAAACTTAACAGTAGAAACATAAAACTACTGTCACAATGCAAACATAACAGTAGAAACATAAAACTACTGCCATAATAAAAACATAACAATAAAAACATAAAACTACTGTTACAATGCAAATATAACAGTACGGAAGGTATTTGATAAAAGCAAGACCACACACTTGTGTTTTTCTAAAGAATCAGAAAGCATGAGTTTATTGCGCGGACGAATATACTCATGAGTATGCACTCATGAATATATACGTCCGCACAATAAATGAGTGCTTTCAGATTCGTTAGAAAAACACAAGTGTGTGGTCTTGCTTTTATCACATACCTTCCTTATTTGGTAGAGATCGATAAAAAGATTTTATAAACTTTGATATTTTTTGCAAATACTGGGAACTTTTCAGTTCGCCATGACAAGGGGATTCCCATAAAAAGTAGTTCTGGATAGTAGGTGAATACAATATTCCGTATTGCACATGTGCAATACAGAACGTTGTATTTCATGGTCTGAATATTGGTTGTATTACTATAACAAGATTCAAAAGGTATGTGATAAAGATCTGTATAAATCTAGGCTAGAGAAAACCAGATTAGTGGTGGCTGGATTACAAAGGTATTTTCCTTTGTAGGTATCTTTCAATTGCTTTTCTTAACTGAATATTAAAACTTTTGTAAGATCCTTTAATTTGTCATTATATTCATAGTGCTATTTTCGTGCTTTGTCAGGAAAATGATATTCCAGTGGTAGAGAGTTCGCGAAAAACAGGTCAGTCCTTCATTTTGTTATTTTTGTTGAAACTGACACATAAAACAATCTGAGCGTATCTATCCAACTTCTTAGTTTATACATGTACGTATGTGTAAACCTCCAATTCAGTTTCAGGGTGAAGTTGGCCGACCAACAATACTCTGATCTTTTTATGCTAAGTTGGAACTAGATATTAGTAGAATGCCTGGAGCTGGAAACTTGCACTGCATCGTTAATTTGCAATGAAATCCTTCTGCTAAAAGCATGAAGATAACACAACCACGAATATTACCTGGTTTTCTAATAAGCAGTTACCTTGAAGATGTTCATGATGGGCATGGTGGCGTTGGAGAAGCGATGGACAAACACAGTCTCCAGTAGTCGTTTGACGTAGTGAAAGGAGAAACAGGCTGCTGCAAGACTGAAAGGTCAACGAGATATTGTAAAGAAACATGAAATATCCACAGAGTAGGCTGATAGTCTTACTTACCCTGAGCAGCTTTTGTATTTTGTGGAAATTGAAATACAGGTGACAGTTCAAACAAGAACAAGGTCTTTAGGACTTACACTTAGTTCAATACATTTGCTCCAATCAGTGTTCAAGTTGAGAAATGACATGGTTTGAATTTGCCAGGTTCAATGGAAACAAAACCATTTTTCAGAAACTGTTTTTCTTTTTATGCATAAAGTGACCTTGACCTTTGGCCTTTACCCTTTAAAAGCAAGCACATTGTATATACAGTATGGAAGCAGTGTAATAGGTTTGAGGTTGACTAGCCAACGTTGATTTAAGTAAGTTTGAGTTTGATTGGCCCACATGAGTTTATTGTGCAAAACCATCTTCCTTTTTATATTTATTATAGTAGCAGTAACCATAACCTTTGACCTTTGCACATGAAAAACGTTCCCCAGCAAGCTCTAGATTTGTTGCTTTAAGGAACTGAAGTGATGGTGCATAAATGGAGGTGTAACTGAAAGACAAGAATCATTCTAATGTCTCCTTCAAACTCGATCAGGGGAGATAATAATTCCCTTAGCAACAACTGTATTTTTCGGTATTGTTTAGGTAATTAGCCTATCAAAATGATATGAAACTCACTTGACTACCCAGGATCTGGGCTGGGAAGCTGCGGCTCCATATATAATGGCCGGCCTGGCGTAGAAGATTAGGTAAGCTACGAGTGGACCCGAGTATTCTGTCATAAACACCTAGTAAAGCACACACAAACAATATACAGTTCTGTTTTCATAAAATGTATGTTGAAATTAACATCAAGGATAAGTCATAAGAGAGATTTATCCAAAAGATAATTAGATTTGTTTATGTTATGTAATAAGCACTATCATATTTCTTTGCTTCAGGTTCTGAGAAAAATTAAAAAATGAATCATATAATAGAAAAATAAATAGATCAAAATAAGAAGATATTTTTTACTTTGTTAAGTGACATTAGTCAGACATGAACTATTGGCAACCACCTTGTTACCATATATATTCTTACTTATATTTTGGTATCTAAACAAATAAACGGATGAATATTTCACTTTTATTGTTGAGTATGCAGTTCATGTGAGGGATTAGAGATTCTAGAAGGGGTCAGATATATGCTATAAAAGGTCGGAGATTCTATGAGGGGTGTATACTCACGGTGGTCCAGCCGACCTGGGGCCCAAGGTCCTTGAAGTATAGTGCTCCCGGTTTAGTGAAGTCTATACTCTCCAGTGTCGTCTCATCTTTAAGTGTCTTTCCCTCTGTAACAGTAAATTACGGAATTCAGGCCAAACTAAAACATTTATAGAACAAGCAAGCCATCATCAGAGGGAAAGGTTTGAGGTTAATCACCACCAAGAAAACTCAAACTCTACTTACTGGGATCACTTTTAAATGCCTGCCGGGTCGGGTAATACTTGGGAACTGAAATAAACAGCAAAGAGATCATATTATGTCTCCACAAAAATTCATATTACTACACATATTCTATGTAACGTTGTACCTGATTGGACTATACTGATCACATGATGGGGAAATAGAACACTGCATTTTCCTATCACACTCAAGTTTCCTCAGTCACCTTTCCCTTATTTGCAGCCTTTTTCGAAAAGTGAGCAGGACACTACATCTGTTTTTAAGTGAATGAAACAGATGATAACAAGGGTCTTCTTCATAAAAGGAGATTAATCTTGAGGAAACACAGAATTTGTATTTCACACAAAGACATTTTCAGGTTGCTTGTCTGGTTAAGGCAGTAATGACACTTTAATATGATTCCCTGTCCCAGAAACACTACAGTATATAATTACTTAAGAAAAATCATGACTAGCAATGTAGTGGATAAATGCCTGCTGTATTCAAGAGGTTCAGTGATTGAATGGCAAAGACATTTTATGAAAGAGGAAATTACGATAAGGTTTTGCTGAAGTAAATGGGCAAACAACTCTGAGTCAGAAATATGTCAAATAAAATGGAATTTTTCTTGGTAGGAGATACAACACAGAATCACATGGTTCACCAATACTTGATCTCAGAAAAAAACATGTTATTCTGTAAAACTTCTCCATATTTAAATCAAACTCACATTTCCTCTCATACTCCCTTTTCACATCTGCAATACAGGATCCTGTAGAAATCTAAAAAACAAGACAAATACAGATCTACAAATGTACCGTCAATTTTTATCTTTCTCATGAAAAATTTGTATCAGTTTTTACATTTTTTAGGTTATACTGTTCAGGGTCTCAAAACAGCTGTCTAGGACTCGGTTTGGGGGAAAAGGTTTGCTAACTTACCAACATCTATATTTTAAACATGTTACAGAGATATAAAACATGACAGGCCTAAAATGACTATGTATTTTATTGACATAGTCATTTCATTGACTTTTTTTATCAACATGCAGAAGATTTACAATGATTTTCAAATTCTTGTATGGACGTTTTCTTCTCTGCAAGGAGTGTTTTAAATTTGAGTATAAAAGAAAAATGAACTAAAGAACAGTAACAAGCATGTACAATTACACTACTCTGATATCCAGGGCTTGTAGAGTTTATGTCTGGGCTTCCTTACATTTTCGATATAGTTACTAATTAAGAAAACATAAGTCTGGGTAGTAGGATGTTTTCAATATATATCATGCATTCCTGTTCATAACAAAAACTTACGTTGGTTAAAGTGGCTAGGGTCTTCCCAGATCTTGGATGGAGGACTGTAATCTACAAGTGAACAAAATGAACATGACATTGACTAAAAGAGTTAAAACTTATCGCTGTTACGAAGATGTATTGTTTAGTGATTAAATTTAAAAATTTGTATTTAATTTTTTTGAAGTGCATGCAACTGCTTATTGGCTTACACTGAGTGGCAGCTACAAGCGTAAAGGATGTGCATTAATGTACATTCAAGTCCCAGCAAACACATATTCTTTTTACCACTTCTATCCTATTACAAGTACTGTATACACGCCTGGAAAGGGTCATAACTTTATAGCTAATGATACCAAGTAATAAGTGACTGCAAGTTAGAACAAATGTCCTCACGACCTCAGATTAAAAGGACAGTCAATAAGTCAATAACAGCTACACATTGAGCTATGCCAACAGAAATGCATCTGTGTAAAACAGGTCCTTTAGAGAGAGAGAGGCCAAAGTCCTCATCCATTGGTTTTATTCTTACGTCATGCAAGCAAATCCATAGTCTATTATTTTTGGAAAAGAGCAAAATTCTTTCAACAGTCTTGATATTGAAGGTGTAAATATAATCTGTGAGGAAAATATAAAGCTACATGGAATTGATATTGACTCACAGTTAAATTTTAATAAACATATAGCAGAAATCTGCAGGAAAGCCTCTAAACAATTGACTGTATTGAAACGTATTGGCAATTGTCTGCCCAAACATGTAAAGATGCTAATTATCAAATCTTTTGTACATTTGTATTATCAAATTCACTCAATTTGTGTCCTGTCATATGGCATTTCTGTAACAAATCAAGTACCAACAAGATGGAGAAAATACAAGAAAGAAGACTTATATTTGTACTAAATGATTGTATTTCAAAGTTAGAAAGACATTTTAACTTGTGCAAAATCATCTTACCTACATATCACTACAATGAAACTCATTGCAGGTGAAGTTTTTAAAATTGTAAATAAGCTGTCACCTAATTATCTACATGTACTAATCAACAGAAAATATTCTACCTATTCATTTAGGAATGAAAACACAGTGCAGCCACCTCAGGTCAACACCACCAGGTATGGAAAAAGGTCTTTCCGTTTTGAGGGTGGCCGGATATGGAACAGCCTCTCAAATGAGTTACGGAAAGCAGAGAACTACTCTGATTTCGGCAGAATAATCCGTATTTGGGAAAACCCTGAATGCTGATGTACCCTATGTATATCCTAACAAACCTGTTTTTTCTGTGATGTGCTGCCATTGGATTTGTGTTTTCATGCTATATGCAATCTGTATGCTGATATATGTGCTCAGGCATGTGTTATATGTGCTATACCATGTGCTTACAACTTGTGCAAATTAAATGTGCTTACTATGTGCTAATAAGCTTTCCATGTGATGGTTTTGTTTTTTATGTGCTGTACATGTATATGCAAATGTGCTATTGTGCTTATATTACCATATGCTGATGTGCTTACTGTGTGCAATGTGCCTACTACAGTATGTGCAAAATACTTTCCAAGTGATAAACTCTTTTTCTATGTTAACAGTATTGTACATGTATGTTTTGGTGTTTTTTTTCATGTTGTAATGTTTATGTCTCTGTTATAATACTCATGTTTTGTTGAAATACAAGCTCTTTGTAGCTTATGTAGCATGTTTTGCAAAATTGATGAAAATAAATATTCTTGTAATAAAGAAAGCAGAATATATGTATTTTCTTGACTACAACATGCCTAATTACAGTTTCAGTGTGATATTTGGAAAATTTACAGCTTTGATTAAACGACTTTCATTTTATACAATCAGGGTTATGATTCATGTGTCTGCACAGTTAAAGAAGTGTCCTCAGAGACTGCATCACTAAACAAGAGATCCCAGTGGGATCTTGGCGCCCACCTTTATACCATCTTCATAAGTTCTTTGTCAGTTCGATCTTTTCTCTTCTTTCCTCTAATCTGTTTGATCGAGTCATGCTAACAGTAAATGCATCTTGAAGTAACTTTTGATCTAAACTTAATACTGATGTGTATGAAAGACAACCTTCAAAGTGAGTTTGTCATTTCACATATTTACTAGTAGAGTACTTAATGTTAAATAAATAGAATCGATCATTGCAATATGAGAAAGATCTGTTTAGTTCTTCTTTTAATCCGTTTTGTTTTTATGATCTGTCTCAAAATATAACATGTACAACAAGAGATCAAGGGGAACCTACATATAAAATTTGAGAAAGATCCCTCTGGCACTTCTTGAGAAATAGCGATAACAAACTTTCAATATCAAAATCCAAGATGGCTGCCTGTCGGCCATGTTGTTTATCTGATCAGTCTCAAAAAATGCCCTGCACAGCTTAGGACCAAGGGGAACCTACATATAAAAATTGAGAAAGATCCCTCTGGCACTTCTTGAGAAATAGCGATAACAAACTTTCACTATCAAAATCCAAGACGGCTGCCTGTCGGCCGTGTTGTTTATTCGATCAGTCTCAAAAGTTGCCCTGCACAGTTTATGACCAAGGGGAACCTACATATAAAATTTGAGAAAGATCCCTCTGGCACTTCTTGAGAAATAGCGATAACAAACTTTCACTATCAAAATCCAAGATGGCTGCCTGTCGGCCATGTTGTTTATCCGAGCAGTTTCAAAAGTTGCCCTGCACAGCTTAGGACCAAGGGGAACCTACATATAAAATTTGAGAAATATCCCTCTGGTACTTCTTGAGAAATACCGATAACAAGAATTGTTTAAGGACGGACGACGGACGCAGGGTGATTTGAATAGCCCACCATCAGATGATGGTGGGCTAAAAAGTAAGCAGAGTACATTAATGTACATGTACCAACACAAAGACCTGAGAATTTGTTAAAGTTTAGTTGTTTTTTTAGACCCAGCTTAAACTGATGATACTGTTCAGTGTACAGGGTACAACAATTTTCAACATCAGTAATTTTACTTCTTTCTCATTTATAACATATACCTATCAGTGGCGGACCCAGGGCCCTAGTTGCCAGGGCAACACCCTTTTTTCTGTGTCCAAAAAAAATCTGGACTAAGGTTTTTGAAGATTTTCCACTTTTTCATATGGGATTTTCTTCTAATATCAACCATCCTGTGAACTATGTTTTCTATGGCAAGCAGCAGTTTGAATATCTATATATGCCTAAGGGTGCAGTTGCCCAAACAAGGAGTCCACTACTTATACTCTAAACAATAGGGGATTAATTCTCTTTTGTTTATATATTAGTAGGGTCTCCAGTCAGGTCAGTGGTGAAGGCTCAACGGACTGTCTACCTAATCATATTGCTCTAATGTCACGGTGTGGTGATCACCCTGTCCGTTGAGAGAGGATAAAACCATCTGTTGGAATTAGGTATACAATGTATATGTTAATTGTTATTTCAAAGGTGGAGTCCATTTCATGATAGATAAACCTGTATTTTCACCAGTGGTTTCATGTACACATTTCAAAGACAATAAAGCATCCACCTTAGCAATCTAACTATATCTTCACATCAACGGGAGCGATGTGAAGATATGATTTTAATTAGATTGCCACCTTAGCATCACGTTATCAGGTGAATAATAACCAATGTTAGCATAACAGCCTGGCATGTATATATTTATTCTTTTTAACAGGTGTTGCCCTTGTACATATGCATGCATACAAATTCATATTTATGACAAAATAAATCAATATTTAATTGTCAAAATGCTCGCCTAAACTACATGCACATGAAAGGCATGACAAAAAACATCAACATTTTAACCAAAAACCTATTTTTTTACCATTATTTCAGAGAATTTGTTAACACTTGCTCCTCTTGGCCATCATACAATATAAATACTCTATGTTATGAAATATAACCTGGAATAATACTGCAAACTCAGAAAACTATTCTATGCCTTATTCGATCTGTTTGACAATGGAAATAATGTCGAATAAATTCTAGCATTCTGCACTTGAACAAGTTTAGTATTACATCTTCAGAGAGAAAAAAATCGCCTTGCTATGCTCGGCAGGGAAATTATACTTGTCACAATCTCGGAAATAATGAAGTTCTATATATTGTTTGGTGCCAGAAAGTAGTATACATGCACAACCGACATGACAATTATAATTTATTAGGTTTTTTTGAAGCTTTTTCTGAGTTTAAAATTTTGGGCAACACCCAAAATTAATTCCTGGGTTCCCCCTGCCTATATAGATATTCAACTATGTGGTTTTCAGTTTTTAAGTTGCATAAAAATAGGTCAGATTTTTTTGATTTTTTTCATATGTGTAAACTTTAAATTTTCACGATTCTAAAAGTTTAATGTCTGAATATATGTAAACATGATGCAAGATTAGCATAATAATTTCTTCTGACCAGATAGATTGAATATCATGCACATTGATATACGAACGGGTGAACCTTTGGCCTCGGGCGATACAGTAGGCAACCGTAAACCGACTAACAGTTCACAGGTCGATCGACGAGAACTTTGCCTCAGATCTGTTATTGAATTCATATATCTGATAAGCATTAACAAATTCAGAGTTAGCAGTGCACACTTGAGTTAAGAATTGTCAGTTACCTCCATAATTCTGTTTTCTTGTGTACTGCAAGCCAAAACAAGCACCTGTCGCCGGCGTCGGTTTCCAAAACAGGGAAGGGGGGCTACTCTGATTCGCTTATGTTTAGTTATAGGAAACTTCCAAGGTGTTCCGAATAATTCACGATGGCGGCTTCCAATGATGTTGATGTGGAATTGGAACCTTCTCTGAAGAATATTGTGGACCAGACGAGTTTGAAATGGATATTTGTCGGTGGGAAAGGAGGTGTTGGAAAAACAACAACAAGGTAATTGTGTGAATTGTCTGAGGAAATTAATGTAAACTTAAGTTAATTTTTTTCTGAGCTGTATCACTAGCAGCGACTAACAAGGCACATGATCATGCGTTACAACAGTACACAGTATGGTCGGAATTCTACAGTATAAGAGAGCTCATTGGACTATAGAAATTATTTGCCACATACAGTTAGCTGCTCATCTGTAAATCTTCAATCTCAGGTGTCAGTACTGAAACTTATATTATAATAATAATTTGCACAAAATAATGCTAAAAATAACCATATGATCTTGAGGCATCAATTCCTAACCATGAGTATCACTATTATATGTATTTATAGAAAAAAAAAACTGCTACAAAAAAATAATTGAAACTTCAAGATAAACTATCTTAAAGAAATATACGTCGGAACGTGATTTATTTATTTCAATATTCAACAGACCCTATAATTAGGTCCAATAACTGATAAAAGAATATTTATACAAAGATTTAAGCAAGAACAACAATAAATGTTGAACAATTAATAAGTGGCAAAAAGGTACATTTTTCAGTTGTTTCTTAAATCTTGACAGAGAGGGGCACATATTATTATATATATATATATATCACAAGTACATTGTTGATAAGATTAAAATATCTCTGGCTTCTCTAAAATTTGGTTTGCTTTAATTTTGTTTAACGTCCTATTCAAGGATGTTAAAAGACTGTATTTACGCTTATTAATTATGCTAAATGAACCGTTAAATAAAGTACACTATATCTAGATTTCTAGGCTTTGGACACATTTACACTGGAAAACAATGTAACTATTTCCATCGACATTCCAGACTAGGTAATTTTAAATGCTTACCAACCTCTGTATAAGGAAGATCATTTAAGGTTATTTTTGCTTTAAAACATAAAAATCTTTGAAAATTTCTTTAGACAAAATTTCAAAATTCATGCAAATTGGTCTAAAGAAATTTGAAAATTAGTTCAAAGGGAGGTAATGTACAATCCAGTAGAGAGGTTACCAGCTTGTGTTGATATCTAATTCAATTATTTTGGAAACTTTAAAATTAACAAATTCATAAGCAACCAAGTATTCTGTCTGTACTTTATGACGTGATTGGTCCAAACAATCTCAAATGGCCCAGAAAATAACCAAAAAAAAAATGATAGTTTGATATTTAGCATCTGTTTTGTTTACAGCTGTTCTTTATCAGTGCAACTTGCCAAGGTAAGGGAGACAGTCTTGATCATATCAACTGATCCTGCTCACAATATTTCTGATGCCTTCAACCAGAAATTCTCCAAGGTGCCAACACTGGTCAGCAGTTTCCCAAACTTGTATGCTATGGTAAGATGCCTTTGTTACACATATAACCTAATGGTGATCAAATTTATGATGAAACTAATCTTGATATTTGTTTCAGGTACTGGCAAAATGTGAAGATCACAAACATCAATATACACCATAACCACATACAAGACATTCACAATTAAATACAGACTTAACAAAGAACACAAAGTTAAAGATAGATAAATAATCACAGTTAAAATTGCAATGAAGGTGAACAAGATAGTCCCTGCTTACAATCTCCCTGCTGGCTACCTAGAGTACTTGAATATTACAAAATGCTTTTTAAATAAACTATGTGTGTTATCAAATTTTTAAATTTGGTTTATTAATGGCCCCACATCAAAGATGTAGCTATAGGTGTCCAATAATAATAACAACCATGTCTGTCTGTCTTTCTGTCCGTCCATCCACACTTTTGTTTCCAGAGAAATTATCTCAGAATCCCAAAGACTAATCTTTCTTAAATTTGATTTTGGCATGATGCTACACTGTGATTTGTTGATGTGTAATAAGGGTTTCAAGATTTTTAAGGTCAGGGTCACTGTTACTAAAAATAGGCCAGGGAGGTGTACAGTCCCTCTCTCGAAATCTAAAAGTCCCAAAAGTCTGTCTCTTTGAATTTGACTTGATCATGCATTGTAAATGTGCAACAGGGGAAATATTTTTAAGGTCAAGGTGAAATAGACCATGATGGGGTGGGGGGCAGTCAGGTATATGGCGAGCCCTTGCAGACCTGTCAGTGTTCTAGTTATCTATTTTGATGAAAGATCATGTATGGATTACAATGCTTTAGTTTGTTCAGTCTGCTCCATGTTGGAAAAAGTGACATTCTCTGGTGGTCATAACATTTCATTGGGGAGGAGGGCAGGGGTTGGTTGGATATTTTACCTCTTAAGCCATATGGCTTTCTGACTATTTTTGTAACGAGCCACCTGTGGTCAAAACAGAAAATTATACACCAACTGTCTGTCTCCTGCTACAAGGGAAATAGGGAGGTTAACATGGCCAATATAGAAAACCATATTGAATCTTTACTTCCTGAATAAATCACCTACACTCACAGGAAGCGATGAGTGATATATTCTGTACATATGTGTGTCTGAGAAATAGCCTGGGGGTCACATTGATGTCATTTCATAGTTTCATTTTCCTGATAACCTCTTACAGCACATATATGTAACCAAGATTGGAGGAAATTAAAACCGGTTTAAGTGATTGTATAAATACATTTCCTATGACTGTTAATGGTTTGAACTACAAAACAGACTGCAGTGCATATCTCTTAAATGATATAGGCCTGGAGGGTACTACAGAGATGTTTGTTATTGATGTCTGTCATTGTATGAATATTCATAATGTACCAGATTTCTGGTTAAAAGACCTAAAATCCAGCGAGTATTTTTTGTAACATGTACATAAATCAGGATGGCAAATGATTTGCCTTCATTTGTTAGATTAATATGACATTATAAGTACATAAGATTTCCAAGTAAGAGCTTAACAGTAATTGCAATGTATCACACATTTTGGTATAGTATTAAACATACAGTACATTAGACAGATATTTTTCCCTAATTCACAATTTTTTATTTTTTTTAAATTGCTTTCAATTCAAGAACAGAAGTAATTTCAGTAAATCTTTCTATCAATAAAATAACTGACTCAAAGAAGATGAAAAGTAGGTTGTTTTTGCCTGCATTTAGCTTAAATATAATAGTTTGTTTGTTTTGCAAGTATATGTATACAAAATACCTTTATAGTCATCAATATCACACTTTTTAAAATAATTTGCTGGTACATGTATAAAAAAGTACAGCTCTTAATATCATGTGTCATTTGTCAGAGGGTAACATGATATAAAGTGCAATGTGATATAAAAGGAACATGATATTAATTGGAATGTAATATATATGTAAGACCACACACTTGTGTTTTTCTAACGAATCAGAAAGCACAAGTTTATTGCGCAAACAAATATATTTTCACGAGTGCGCTACGCGCACAAGCTAACAATAACGTCCGTGCAATAAATGAGTGCTTTCTGATTCGTTAGAAAAACACAAGTGTGTGGTCTTGCTTTTATCACATACCTTCCGTGTTTGTTAGAGATCGATACAAAGATTTTTTAAACTTTGATGTTTTTTGCAAATACCAGGAACTTTTTCACCATAAAAGGGGGGTTCCCATAAAAGGTAGTTCCGGCTAGTAGGTAAATACTTCTTCTTCTTCTAAATGCTAATGACCAACTTCAACAAGTTGAAGATAATGTCATGAGGGAGAAAGAGATTCAGTCGATTCCAAGAAAGCCAAAATAATATATACATGTACATAAATTTAATTTTGAGGGTACAGTGAAAGGAGAGCAGATTTAAAAGATTCAGTAGTAGTACAGAAGGATATGATATCTGGTGGGATCTTATTCCACTCACATGTGCAATACAGAACGTTGTATTTCATGGTCTGAAAATTGCTTGTATTACTAAAACAAGATTCAACAGGTATGTGATAAAAAGCAGAAAATGATGTTAACTGACATTTGACATTAGCAGAACACTTTTTTCCATGAAAATAGATCAATTTCAGTATAAAGTTAAAATGTGTATTGAAAAACTACATATCAGTTATCCCTTGTCATAACAAAGCAAAGCTATTTCAATGGATGCACCTCTTCAACATTTGTTTGATCTAATCTGAGGTGTGAAAATCTGCAGCGCCATGGCAAGAAAATAAAGTCATCATTGATGTTATAGGTTTGGTATTTTAAAAGTATGACATGTTGGGGAAACTTGCAAGAGAATGTGATATTAAAAGGTTCTCATTTCAAACAACGTATTAAATATGATGTAATGCAATATGACATAGAAAGGATTTGACTATCAAAGAGTCTTAGTATCTTATCATGTTTTGATTTCTTTCAGGAAATAGATCCAAACTTGGGATTCTCCGAGCTCCCTGATGAATATTTTGAGCAGCAAGGTTTGATTGCAATACATTTTATCATACATACACAGTGCAACACTCCATTAAACAAAAGACATACTTGGTACCGGTTTAACTAAACTATCTACTAGACCAGACACATGCAGCTACATGTACATATATTCTTCGGTGAGAATGGATAGTACATTTCTATTTAAATAAAAGAAAAATCTTCATCAAATGAAAAAGATCTCTGCATGCAAGTGCAGTCTATAGATAGTACAATGTTTGGTCATTAATATGTAAAGATTAGGAAATTAAGCAGTTTACTTTTCTGAGTGAAACAACATATGAAATAACAGGTGAGTTATTGGAGTATAAAGCTTGGAAACTGACACATCATGTCCTTTTTCTCCCTATGGGACAGTATGTTTTAAAGTTAATTAAAACAAAATAGTATAAATGAATAACAGTTTTCATATTTTTCTGTAATGTTTATGGTACTATTCATGATATTTATAAGGGGAGATAACATTGATCCAAGGGGAGATAACATTTTACAGATTGTTTGATGCCTGCCATTGCTATTTTTATTTTGTTTTGATATTGAATCTTGTTTTGTTCATATAAATCAAGGTGTTTTTCTTCCGTTGAAGAAGTATGAATAAAATGAGTGCATCAGGATCTATCATCTAAAATATATTGATATTTTCACAATTGTCTCTCTTCTCATGAAATGAAAGATACAACAATTTATCTAGAAACATATCATTTAAAAATGATCTGACACAACTATTTATGATTAAAAAAGAATATGTACTTAATGTGTGGTCCTGCTGGGACAACTACGGTACTTTGTGTGATATATTGATGTCTGTCAGACACATAATTAATTAACCTCAAGTAGTGTAAAATTAACATAAAAGGCATTAGTTCTCCTTCCAAGAATTTCCTGTAGGTTTGTTCTATTGCACCATTAAAAGGATTTTCTCTGGAGATGATTATATCTCAAAAGATTTACATAATATTTTATTAATTTTCTCAGAGTAGGTTATCTCCCTTGAATCATAGATCAGAAGAAAGTTTGTTTTCTTTGAATTGCTGTGATAAATAATTGAGTAGTGTGATATAATCAGTTGTTCTATCCTGATGACTGGGGTTCTTTGTCAGCCTCAGGCAGCAGTGTACTTTTTATGACCTAGTATAGACTCTATTTTGAAAAATAAAACATCAGTCCGACCTACATTTTTTGTAATACCCAATGTTAAAATGTCCTTGGACTTTGTAGTGTTGAACCACTAGTATAAACTTACAAAAGACTAACAAAATAAGACAAACGCTAGATAAAACCCCAATTAGGTAGATATATACGGTGTTGTAATTTTCTGTATGCTTTGGAGTCAACAAAACAAGTCAGAAGGTGTCGATTCAGAACTTAATCTGTAGGTAGGATGGTCCCAGAGACTGCATTGGTGACGATCAGCTTAATCTGTAGGAAGGATGGTCCCAGAGACTATTGGTGACGATCAGCTTAATCTGTAGGTAGGATGGTCCCAGAGACTATTGGTGACGATCAGCTTAATCTGTAGGTAGGATGGTCCCAGAGACTGTATTGGTGACAATAAACTTAATCTGTAGGTAGGGTGGTCCCAGAGACTGTATTGGTGACAATAAACTTAATCTGTAGATAGGGTGGTCCTAGAGACTGTATTGGTGACAATAAACTTAATCTGTAGGTAGGGTGGTCCCAGAGACTGTATTGGTGACGATCAGCTTAATCTGTAGGTAAGATGGTACCAGGGACTGTATTGGTGATGATCAGATTAATCTGTAGGTAGGATGGTCCCAGAGACTGTATTGGCGACAATAAACTTAATCTGTAGGTAGGATGGTCCCAGAGACTGTATTGGTGACAATCAGCTTAATCTGTAGGTAAGATGGTACCAGGGACTGTATTGGTGATGATCAGCTTAATCTGTAGGTAGGATGGTCCCAGAGACTGTATTGGTGACAACCAGGATATAAAGTCAAACATCTCTATTGTATAGATTATAATTCTATTCAATTCACAACATATAATTTGGTAAATATCTAAACTTCAGCTTAAAAATAAACTTACAAATTCAATTGAGATTAATTATTCGTCACTGTTTCAGATGCTATGCACATGGGAAAGGCCATGGTTGGGGAACTCCTGAGTGCTTTTCCTGGAATTGATGAAGCTATGAGTTTTGCTGAAGTCATGAAGTAAGAAAATCAATCTATTGAAATATGATAAATGGCTTCATTTTAATTACTGGAAAGGATGTAGGAATTAAGAGTTCCCATTCAGATATACTGTTGTTTATTTTCAACCAGATTGCTCAATATAATGTAGATCTGCTACTACAATCAGATGATACATCCAGTCTGAAGCTCAACAGTCTCGTTTGTCATAATAATCAATGACCTTATAAAATCATCTTAGATACCCCAGTACATTAAACTGAAATTTAACTTAATATATTTTATAACAATTGCTTTACAAATTGTATCAACTTATATCACTCTTGCTGGTCCAGATGAAAGTATGCATGTGGTTTTAATGCGAGAGAAAACCGGATAAGTCAGAGAAAACCTACATGGACGGGCAGGTGACCCCTTTACCTTGTTAAGTCTAATCAGGGAATCTAACCAAGTTGTTGCAGTGAAAGGCGAGAATGCTGTTCACTCCACCACCAGACCACCCCAGATACCCTGTACATACCTATACATATAGTACCAGACTACCCCAGATACCCTGTACATGCCTATACATGTACTACCACCCCAGATACCCTGTGCATGCCTATACATGTAGTACCAGCCCAGATACCCTGTGCATACCTATACATGTAGTACCAGCCCAGATACCCTGTGCATACTTATACATGTAGTACCACCCCAGATACCCTGTGCATACCTTTACATGTAGTACCACCCCAGATACCCTGTGCATATCTATACATGTACTACCACCCCAGATACCCTGTGCATACCTATACATGTAGTACCAGCCCAGATCCCCTGTGCATACTTATACATGTAGGACCACCCCAGATACCCTGTGTATATATATGTAGTAGCAGCCCCGATACCCTGTGCATACATATACGTGTAGTACCTCCCCAGATACCCTGTGCATAACTATACATGTAGTACCAGACTACCCCAGGTACCCTGTGCATACCTATACATGGAGTACCAGACTACCCCAGATACCCTGTGAATACCTATACATATAGTACCAGACTCCCACAGATACCCTGTACATGCCTAAACATGTAGTACCACCCCAGATAACCTGTGCATACTTATACATGTAGTCCCACCCCAGATACCCTGTGCATAGCTTTACATGTAGTACCACCCCAGATAACCTGTGCATACTTATACATGTAGTACTACCCCAGATACCCTGTGTATACCTTTACATGTAGTACCAGCCCAGATACCCTGTGCACGCCTATACATGTAGTACCAGCTCAGATACCCTGTGCATACTTATATATGTAGTACCACCCCAGATACACTGTGAATATCTATACATGTACTACCACACCAGATACCCTGTGCATACCTTTACATGTAGAACCACCCCAGATACACTGTGCATGCCTATACATGTAGTACCAGCTCAGATACCCTGTGCATACTTATACATGTAGTACCACCCCAGATACCCTGTGTATATATATGTAGTAGCAGCCCAGATACCCTGTGCATACATATACATGTAGTACCTCCCCAGATACCCTGTGCATACCTATACATGTAGTACCAGACTACCCCAGATACCCTGTGCATACCTATACATGTAGTACCAGACCACTCCAGATACCCTGTACATGCCTATACATATAGTACCAGACTACCCCAGATACCCTGTACATGTGGACAGCTATTTATTCTGTAGTCAGTCTCTGTATATGCAATAAGAGATCGTTTGATTTAAGTAGAACAAAGGCTTTTTAGGTCCTATTTGCGATCGCCTTTTGTCCGTCGTGCGTCCGTAAACAATTTACATTTTCGACTTCTTCTCCAAAACCCCTGAACCAATTTCAATGAAATTTTGCAGAAACCTACCATGGCCAAAGGTCAACTAAAATTGTGAATTATATGGTCCCCAGCCCCCAGGGGCCTAAGGGGTGGGGCAAAAAAGGGTCGAATTGAGTGAAATTTCAAAAATCTTCTTCTCAAGACCCAGATATGGTAGAATCAAATACTCTTCATAGATAGAAGGGTCTTAAGGTGCTTTACCAAAATTGTGAATTTCATGCCCCTGGGGTCTCACGTTTCCCCCTGGGGAGGGGGTAAACTTTACTACAGTTTACATAGGGAAATCACATTTAGGACTAACATTTGTTTAATTGCCATTGGAAGTAATTCAATTTGGGTTATCATTATCAGTATTGGATAGCAGTTTGATGGTATGCACATATCAGCCCTGACTGACCCCCAGGGGCTGATGATTGGGGCTAAAAAGGGTCTAATTGACTGAAATTTCAAAATCCTCTTCTCAAGACCAGATATGGTAGAATCAAATACTCTTCATAGATGGAAGGGTTTTTAGGTGCTCTACCATAATTGTGAATCTTATTACCCTAGGGTCTCACGTTTACCCCTGGGGAAGGAGGGGGGCAAACTTTGTTATGGTTTATAATGGCAAATGATACTTTGAATATTACATGTTGATAACTTGATTGGAATCATAACCCTAAGTTGACAGTTTGATACTTTGAAAAGGGCTGTAGGGTGTGGCCCCACGGAGTCTGTGTGCTAAAATAAAATTTCTTTTTCCTTGTTTAGAATCAGAGGTGCTAGTTTCAAATACTTTTCAGTCTTAAATCTGCATGCTAGATATTGAATAAGGTGGTTTTATTGTTTTTTGTCACTTTGAATAATATTTCTGTTCGTGTTAAAAACAAAATCAACTCTCTGTATAAATATATCAGGTGACCGTTAAGGCCCATGGGCCTCTTGTTTTGTTTGTTTCATATGATAAACGTACATTAAATGAGCGTTTACATGTAGCCCCATAGCAGAACAAAGAATACTTCTTTTCTCTGTTATTATCACTTCCATAGAACATGTATCACCCTGGTATTCTTGTAATCATATGACCTTCATATTCAGAATGTTTGTAAATATTATACAACAAACCCCAAATTACTTTATTAACATCCTTACCACCCGTACTGTATCCTTTTACACTCGTCTTACATAGAGGCCGGAGAAATGTGATCTTGGATCAAACTTCGAGATAAATATATGCAATAGGTATGGATATCTTGGATCAGACTAGACACTGTATAAAAATAACCTCCTGTTTTTAGACTGGTGAACGGAATGAACTTTTCGTGTGTGGTGTTTGACACTGCCCCCACTGGTCACACACTGCGCCTTCTCTCGTTTCCCTCCGTCATAGAGAAGGGACTCGGCAAGATTCTCCGACTAAAAAACCAAGTGGGACCATTTATATCACAGGTGAGAAACAGATCATAAAACTTGTTGTACACCAGAACCTGTCTTTATTGACATAGTTAGATTAGATAATATGTCCAGATAAGACAAGGACAGAAATATCAGTTTCATGCAGAACAAAGTGGTTTTGAGCTATTTTATCATTTGGATATTACAGGACATAACTAAAATCTGTTATATATATTAGAGTCAAACGTACACATGTGCCCACCTCTATTAAGAGGCTACCTATGTTTAGAATCCACTTCTAATGTTCTTTATTGTAGTGATTTTATTATTACCAGAGGTATTTGAACCTTTATTAAGAGACCACCTGTGTTAATAGAACACTTCCGCAGGGTGGTCTCTTAATACAGGTTGAGTGTATACTGACTAAAGCATAAATCCATTTGGAATCTTATTTTATAAATATTCAAAATGCATATAAAAAAATACGTTTTGTATTTCTGACCAATTTAGTATATTTTTGTCAACCTTTCTCTGTCAGGTTTCCTTATGACACTCGTCAGTCTATAGTTAGACAACATTCAGATGACTGATTGTCACATCCTTTCACATCTCGGAAACATGCTGGTCATTCTAAAATAAGAAATCTATGCCTACAATTGTGTCATGGTTGTCTCCCTTGTTTAACAGATGGCAGGTATGATGGGGATGCAGGACATGAACGCAGACGACATGTCCACCAAACTACAGGACATGCTAACCACGATCAGACATGTCAACGCCCAGTTCAAAAACGCAGTGAGTAATCAATGCCTATACACATCCTTTCATCATCTTATCAGAATCTTACGTTCTAATTAATTCATGTGTCCCTGCTTCAATGATACCATGTATATGTGTTTAACATGCCTTGATGTTTTGCTTCAGAGCCAATCTTATGGTTTGTACTGATGGTTTATTCAGGCAGTTTGATTTAAACAATCACTTGGGCTAGTGGCTTTAATCAATCAACAGTGAAAGTGGGTTTTATCAGTAACTATGGCTTTTCACAACAACTAGGGCAACTAGTGGCTTTGAACAATCACTAGAGCAGGTGATATTTTCTAATTCCCAAGGCTTTTCAAAGTCATTAGGGCAAATGGCTTCAAACATTCATCAGAGCAAGTGGCTTAAAAGTCACTTGAAAGAATGGATTTTATTAGTCCCTAGCCAAGGACTAATGGCTTCTTTAAAGTCTGGTGATACCATCCAATCTTGTGTTATTGTGTAATTTTTTGTGTATTTTGTATTTGTTCATTTTTTTTGTTCATTTTTTTTACAAAAGTTATTACTTTCCTTTCCAGGATGAAACAACATTTGTGTGTGTTTGTATAGCAGAATTCCTGTCACTGTACGAAACAGAAAGACTGGTACAAGAATTGACGCGATATGGTATAGACACTCACAATGTTGTGGTCAATCAACTCTTATTTCTAAAGAAGGGGACAGAACCGTGCAAAATGTGCAAGTCTAGACACAAAATACAAGCCAAGTATTTAGACCAGGTAATTACAGGTGAAAATAGGTAAAATATGAATATCACATGATATCTTTGTATTAAACACAGCATTAAGACCCAATGGAATATTGTATACAAAAATAAATTTTGATAGATCGTGGCAGTTTCATGTAGGAGGAGCTTCTGTTTCCTCTGCTTTTAAATGTAAGATTTATCAGGGGCAGTCATTGGCAGAACTATTAACATAGGACTTGAAATTGAAGTGTTTATCAAACCTTACAAAGAAATAAGGCCACTAGGTCTGTTCTCTTTCATTACCAACAATGGTCTGACTGTGTTCAACATCCTAAAGAAGACCAGGTTTATAGTGTTTGATTGATTGATTGATTGATTGATTGGTTTTACGTCCCCTTCACTACCGAGTAGTTCGGTTATCCAGCAGACGAGTTTATAGTGTTTATGTCACGTGGGATATATATTGTACTGGTATGAAAAAAACAGGTAAAAAAAGGAAAAAAATATGCATTATATAACATACTCACTTCTGATACTGATGAAATATAGAGTAAGTGTGTCCGATTTTTCAGATTGCAGATCTGTACGAGGACTTCAACGTGACAAAGTTACCTTTACTGGACGAGGAAGTTAGAGGAGCAACAAAGATAACAGAATTTTCCGAAAATCTACTGGAACCGTACAATGTAGAAAAATCGTAGCCTTAGATGGGGATAACAACTGGGATTATTTATTGTGCACGGTTAACAAATGATGGAAAATTGTTGATCTAGGTCATTTATATGAAGTTGCGTATTAATGGTTAATAAATTACCTGATCAAATTTTTCGACCAATTTATCGTTAAATTCTGTTTATTTCTTTTTAAACAGTTCATTGTTTAGTAACATGGTTGACCAAGTGAAATAAAGTTCTGCTGAATACAGCCTAAGTGAGATCATCATGACATTTGGCGAAATGTTGATAAGTAAACCAATCTTAACTGCAGTTACTTTGATCACATTTGTGTACAGAAATGGTAATGTCTGAATCAACAGAATTTGAATTGACTCTGATTATCAGCACTTCAAACTATCAGGCAAATTTTCAATTCATTGACTGTAGTTAAGGTAAATTAGGTAACTTACACAGGTGAGTTTAGGTAACACCATTAAACTATTAACTTGGTAATCCTGCGGCTACATAGTTTGCTCTGTCGCTTCATACACCTCTAAACGAATCTTCTGCAATGGTGAATTGCCTACTATAAATCCCATCTTATAAAATCTGAACAGTATTCCTAGACCACTGTATCCAATTTTTACATTTTATACAGCATAGACAATGGGTTAAGAAGATTTGATATTGTCTTTAGACAAAAATGTTTCATAGACAGGACTTTTACTAAGCTTTTGTATTTTGTGAATTCTCAGCATCCACAGCACATGTATCAAAGAGAACAGATGTTATTTAGCCTTCATTAATAAAGGAACATTTTGAAAGTATTTCATCATACTTTGATACATGTTCTTTAATGCCGGAAAATCAATCGGTCTAACTTCAGGTTTGAGTAAGAGCTTCGAGTCCTTTTCAAAGAATGACTAGATTCTTAAATGGACTAGATTCTAACCGCAGGACTACTAGATTAATAAAACCTTCAAAACTACTTGGGTAAGGTATTCAATGTGATAGTACATGCTACAATAGTTGAGTAAACTTTATATTATACTACATGTATCTGTTCATATTTCTTTGGTTGATTTTTCTTTTTGATATTCACACATAGGTCAGGTTTACTCAATATAAATCTAGAACCACAGTATTGCATCTGTTGCCTTTTTTAACCTTTAGAAAATTGATCCTTGAAATTTGAAATATAATACTGAACAGATTGAAGGCCTAATATCAAATCATTCACAATTAACTCTTCAGATCCTATAAGAATTCATTACAGCTGTATTGAACTTCCTTATTCTGTGTGGTGTATTCTATAGGGTGTAATATAGCTAGAAACAGACAGTGATACAGTCTGATATGTTGATACCTTCATTGATTCACCCTTTCACCACTGTAGTCCATAATGGACTCGTCCATATCAATGCATGGTAGAGTCTACTTAAGTTACATAGAGGTGAAAGGGTTAAGCCCTGAAAGTACTGGCCCACTCCGCCCATTTAATTGTTCTTTTTTGAAGGGAAATATATGACTTGAGTAGCCATGCACTGTACCTTGTGATTGTCAAATGTGATTTATGCATAATTACACACTGCAGTGTAAAACCGTTTTTAATGTATATACATGTACATATAAGTCAAATGTTGTCAGATTGTATCCTATTGTTCCCTATTATTAGACATTAACCATAACAACTACGTAACACATTTACTATAAATACAATTTCAAGCAGAACACCGGGCATTTTAATGTTTTGATATTTTCATGAGGTTTTTAGGTCACCTGAGCTTTAGCTCAAGTGACCTATTGCTATCCGTTTTCGTCCGTCGTCGTCCGTCGTCCGTTAACATTTTAAATTTCAAACTTAAAGTCAAGTTCTGCTGGGCCGATTGAACTGAAAGTTGGTAGGAATGATCGCCTCATAGTCCTGACAAAGTGTTGTTATTTTTCGGGTCGATCAGAAATCCAATATGGCCGCCACGGCCGCCATTTTGAAAACCTATTTCAAACTTAAAGTCAAGTTCTGCTGGACCGATTGAACTGAAAGTTGGTAGGAATGATCGCCTCATGGTCCTGACAAAGTGTTGTTATTTTTTGGGTCGATCAGAAATCCAATATGGCCGCCACGGCCGCCATTTTGAAAACCTATTTCAAACTTAAAGTCAAGTTCTGCTGGACCGATTGAACTGAAAGTTGGTAGGAATGATCGCCTCATGGTCCTGACAAAGTGTTGTTATTTTTCGGGTCGATCAGAAATCCAATATGGCCGCCACGGCCGCCATTTTGAAAACCTATTTCAAACTTAAAGTCAAGTTCTGCTGGACCGATTGAACTGAAAGTTGGTAGGAATGATCGCCTCATGGTCCTGACAAAGTGTTGTTATTTTTCGGGTCGATCAGAAATCCAATATGGCCGCCACGGCCGCCATTTTGAAAACCTATTTCAAACTTAAAGTCAAGTTCTGCTGGACCGATTGAACTGAAAGTTGGTAGGAATGATCGCCTCATGGTCCTGACAAAGTGTTGTTATTTTTCGGGTCGATCAGAAATCCAATATGGCCGCCACGGCCGCCATTTTGAAAACCTATTTCAAACTTAAAGTCAAGTTCTGCTGGACCGATTGAACTGAAAGTTGGTAGGAATGATCGCCTCATGGTCCTGACAAAGTGTTGTTATTTTTCGGGTCGATCAGAAATCCAATATGGCCGCCACGGCCGCCATTTTGAAAACCTATTTCAAACTTAAAGTCAAGTTCTGCTGGACCGATTGAACTGAAAGTTGGTAGGAATGATCGCCTCATGGTCCTGACAAAGTGTTGTTATTTTTCGGGTCGATCAGAAATCCAATATGGCCGCCACGGCCGCCATTTTGAAAACCTATTTCAAACTTAAAGTCAAGTTCTGCTGGACCGATTGAACTGAAAGTTGGTAGGAATGATCGCCTCATGGTCCTGACAAAGTGTTGTTATTTTTCGGGTCGATCAGAAATCCAATATGGCCGCCACGGCCGCCATTTTGAAAACCTATTTCAAACTTAAAGTCAAGTTCTGCTGGACCGATTGAACTGAAAGTTGGTAGGAATGATCGCCTCATGGTCCTGACAAAGTGTTGTTATTTTTCGGGTCAATCAGAAATACAATTTGGCTGCCATGGCCGCTATTTTGCTACTAAGTTCTAATAGGCCGATCTCACTTAAAATTGGTCTAGGAATGATCAGCTCATGGTCCTGACAAAGTTGAGTTAATATTATACTATTTTACTCAAATTGGTACATATTTCAACAACAAAAATAAATACTGTAGACTCAGGTGACCGTTTAGGCCCATGGGCCTCTTGTTTTGTTTAGAAATTGTCTTTGAAAAAGCCCTTTATCTCCAGTACCCGACTAGTTGTAGTGGTGCATTATTTATTGTGTTCATAGAAATTGCCCTGTAAAAGGTTTATTATGTGAATTACATTTTGTTAGGTCACCTGAGCTTTAGCTCAAGTGACCTATTGCTATCCGTTTTCGTCCGTCGTCGTCCGTCGTCCGTTAACATTTTACATTTCAAACTTAAAGTCAAGTTCTGCTGGGCCGATTGAACTGAAAGTTGGTAGGAATGATCGCCTCATGGTCCTGACAAAGTGTTGTTATTTTTCGGGTCGATCAGAAATCCAATATGGCCGCCACGGCCGCCATTTTGAAAACCTATTTCAAACTTAAAGTCAAGTTCTGCTGGACCGATTGAACTGAAAGTTGGTAGGAATGATCGCCTCATGGTCCTGACAAAGTGTTGTTATTTTTCGGGTCGATCAGAAATCCAATATGGCCGCCACGGCCGCCATTTTGAAAACCTATTTCAAACTTAAAGTCAAGTTCTGCTGGACCGATTGAACTGAAAGTTGGTAGGAATGATCGCCTCATGGTCCTGACAAAGTGTTGTTATTTTT